AAGCCATCATTCTCCAGGCCCTGCAAAATGCCCCCAATCACAGCCTCTTTCACATGCCTGAAGCTTGAGTTGCTTTGAGCTTTGTGAACTTCGACCAATTGTCATCCAAGTGGCTTTTCGACTTGAACCACCCGCAGGTGCCAAATGGGTTCTATAGATATTTCATACTTGCCTAATTGTCATGGTTTCGTCACTGGAGAGCGAACGCAGGCTGCAAGAAAGCTCCTCACAAAAGAACAAGTGAAACTAGGTTTGCGCAAGGCTGACTACTTTATGCTCGGGGGGGCGCGCGCCACAAGACTAAAAGATCTGGAGGTTTTGTGCTGAATCATCATTTTGACAAGGGCATGTATCTGTTGCCTCACCAGTATCTGTTGCCTCACCAGTATCTTCTACCCAGCGATTGACGCTGTTGCCTTTCTCTGCGGGAGCCCAAGGTTTGGAAGTCTAGTCAATGTCAAAGAGTATCAAAGAGTGTGATGTTCTTTGGCAAAGCAGGTGGCGCGAATTTGTGGCGTTGCAGCTCTGGGTTCTGGCTTCAAGAAGTTACCCAACACCTGCAATCTGCATCACCCTGTGCCTACTGCATTCTCATGCATGCTCATGCAACGAAAGGAAAAGAAAAACATGATAATACATGGGAACGACGTTCCTCCCATCTTTTCTGTCGTTGGTCCCCTGTACTGGGCTTCCATGCCTGGGCTCCCCTGCATCTACCTGAAAGAGAACCTGCAGCAAAGTCTGCAAGTTCCGAAGAAAACTGCAAGTCCTCAATGGAAGTCGATGCCAAGGAAGTGTTTTTGTTCACCGATCGTCCCACAAATGCCTGGGCTCACCCCTCTCACACTTCGAAAGGAAGTGCAAATTCCGAACAACTTCTGTGGGATGTTGCTCAAACCAGGGTGAGCCTCCACACGCTTCCTAGCCACAAGAACGAAATGCAGAGTCTTCGTGTGGGTTTCAAACCCCTGCCAAATTGTTTTGCACTAAGACTCCACTAAAAGTGCCGTCTCGGTTGCCGTCTCACCTCCAAGTGCCTCCGGAAGCGCCTCGGGAAGATCCACGTCCGTGGAGGCCGAGACGAAATTTGCTGGTGAAAAAGACCATGACAGGAGCAATCGACTTACCCACATGGATCAACTTCTTGGTCTCAAGCAGTGGGGCTTGACCATTTCGCCAGAAAAATGAGACCCATTTTTGGAGTCCTCCGTTCCGAATGACTTGGACTTGGCAGTTTCTGCCCATCCTTCAGATTTTTGATCAGCATTATCCTCCTCTTCTCTCGTTCAAGTTCAGAACCTCCACTGCTCGAGTTGTTGATTCGTCGCGTAGCTTACTGGCATTGCTGTTAAGACAGAAACTGCGACAGTCTCAAAAAGGAATGACAAAGATCAATCTATATAATTCTTTGACAGGAACAAGAAGCTACTAGGGGCTCCTGGCATCGCTACAGGACGCTACTAGGGGCTCCTGGCCGTACTACTAGGAGCAAGAACGCTACTAGTAACAATGCCACATCAACCTCTGCAAGCCGACATTCTGGGACCTCCTGGGCGCATGACAGCCACGAAAGACCGAACTCACCAAGTCTGCAGGCAGCCTCCTGAAAGGGATTGAAAGGGAATGTTTTTTGATATGCATTGGTTTCATGACGCAGACTTTACAGATTCGTGTCTTCAACAGCACTGGCACTTCACTACCTTCTGGCACGACCCCATGTTTTTCTCTCACTTTCAGAGACTCGGAGACGCTGCAGACGCGGATCAGCGCCTGGATCGCCTCGCGGGCCAAAGCGACCTGGGAGAACAAACGACTTGGCTGAGGCGGCCCACTGTGACCGGAGACTCCACGGTCTTCTTTCGAGTCCTCTTTTGACGGCGAAGCAGCATATCTGTCTTCAAGCAGAACGAAACATAGATCAACGATAAGCCTGCACCACTGGCCGTGGGACTTAGGTTCCGCATCCCAATCACCCAATCGCTGCCATTTTCCTCGAGGTCCAAGCCATGCGACTGGCGCTGCGCGCTTTGGCACAACGCACACTTTGGCGCAACAGCTATGCCCTCGCGCCGCGACTTCTGCCACTTCTTCGAGGGGACTCATGGCCCTCATACCTGGCAAGGATCACAGAAACTGGATCGACCAATACAGCAGTTTCCCAGGCTTGGTGTGGATCTCCTTCTTTTGGGTTATTGTATGTCACATGGTATCATGTCCATGACGACCAAAATATTTTTGAGCAACACCAACAGCATCCCCACTGCACCTCCGGCGCTCCTGGCAGGGCGGATGACACAGAGAGGTGCAATCAGAACACGGTGCAATCAGAACTAAGGCCCAAAAGACACTCTTTCGAAGAACCTTGAGGTCAAGCGATGAATAGGTCAAGCTTGTTTCTAACATCCATATGTCCATATCATATGAATCATATGTCCTGATGCTTCAGATAAGGTCGGGTCTCAAATCCTTGATTGCCTTCAAAGACCTTCGGGGATTGTAATTTACACACGCATTGGAGCCCTCATAAATGATCCCTAGACACCTCTCGACTAGAAACTCCTTTGATGACGTCACTCTGCCCCACCAACCTGAAGGTTCTGGGGCCTGAAAAGAGCAAAGCAAAAATGCTCATGCAGGGTTGCAAAAACAAAGACCGAACTTGGACATACAACCTCTGATTGCATACTTCTCAATTCTAAAAAAGGGTTAGCTAATGTTCTGTCATGGATTGGATTGTCAACAAAACGACTAACTACGTCCAGAAACAGAATCCAAACTATACGATAGGGGTCCGCTCAAGAACCGCACATCAAGGTTGAGCGTGGTTCGCAGCACGATCATGTTGGTTTCACCAGCCAACTCAGCCAACATTAATTACGGTTTGAATCAAACACATCTTTGGTTATTCTCTTTGAGGCATGGAGGATAGATTAGGATTGATCTATTAAGAAATCCAAGCTCCTCTCTTACGCTTCTTACGTTTCACGTGCTCAGGGTGTTTAGTTTTTTGACCTGGTCATTCACCTTCCCCCTGGCCTCGCATCTTCGCGCGGCCTCCTTCGCTTGACGTCCCTAAGCGGGAGGACGGGAGGCGGCACCCGGGAGTCCTCATGAATAAAAGGAAAGCACAAAAAAAAGAAAATGGCGCCCAAAGCAGCTATGCCGGTTAGATATTCCCAACCAGTTCTGTACCGACATGTTTCGTTCCATGGCGATGTTGATCTGAAAATCACCGCTGGATGAACTCCCTTTAGTTTGATCTCAGGTGTCACAAATAGAGAAGCCAGATCGACCGAAATATGAAGTCACATGTCGGATCCTTCAAAGACACCGCCAACACCAAGTGTGGCCAAGTTGCAAATGGGACCGACCTCTGCAATCAGCAGAGATGGCAATTCAAGACTACTTCCTTTCAGAATCAGTGTTCCTGCATGGAGCATGGATGTCATTTCCAAGAAATTGCGCAAGCTGGCTTTAGATAGCACCACAGCCAGCGCTCATGGCCCTTCAATCAAAAAGACTTTCCATTAGCAATCAAAACCACATCAGCCTGCCTGCATTTACTTTGGCAGGTACATCTTTCGCCTGCACGTCACCAACTGGACTTGACATGCACAGCTTTGTCTGGGGACGGAAGGAGATCTGCTTTTCAAAATGACATGAAATCAGTGTCTCGCAAAACGAGACGATTTTCTGAAGACTTGTCAAAGGGTTGGACTTATAGCTCGTCTAGAACTGATTCTCCACAAGCCTGAGTCCTGAGGTCAATTCCCTCAGCCTAAAGAAGCTTCAAGACTCCGTTCAAATCAAACGTCTTAAAAGTCTGATGTTCATTCCTTTTCAACGTGTCTTCGTGTTCGAAACGGATATCACAAATCAATGAAACATTATACACATCATGGGTGTTCGCATACAAAGCACCAGAAACGACCGGATCCTGTTAATTCAAGCGGCTCAAGCTGTGTTCAAGGCATTCACTATAAACCTCCGACATTGAAGCCACTCCACAAGCATCTTACGTAAGCTCATTCCTCTTTGGTCGCCTCTTCACCAGGGCAACTCAAACAGCCAAAAGGCTCATCAAATGAAAGATTCTACTAGTGACAAGGGCACTACTACTAGTAGCTAAAAGCTATTAGGAAACAAAACGCTTCCTTTTCTTTCATCTGATTTCGTGTTTGGTTGGATCCAAGCCCTGGAGGTTTTCAGCTGGGACGTCCCGTCCTGTGGCTTGGGGCGATCAAGTTCAAAGACCTGGCCAAAACGACGCTGAAGGTGAAGGTGAAGGTGGACCCAATGAAAGGAACCGATTCGGTGGACATCATATGGGGCCACCATGGAATCTCATGGGACCGACCAGCGCGGACAGGACACCAGGCAACATCAGGACATTCAATGAACAGTGCGGTGCTGGAACGCCAAGTAAAGTTGATCCTCAAAGTGGAAAAGTCAACAAATCGTTGCATAAAAAGATTTGTTCAGGAATCAGCAAGGACGGAAGACCTTCGCAACTCTGCTCCGGTCCTCCACACCATCTCGCAAGATGGTCACAACGCTGTCAGCCACCCCGTGGGAATGCCTGCGAGCATCCTGGCGAGCCGTGAAGCTCGTCTCAACCAGCCGGTCCGCGTATCACTGGGTTCCGAAAAAAGAAGAAACTGCGCCTGCTCGATGGAAGCCATGGGCTGCAGGGGCTGAGGCACCTGCCAGACATGAAAAAGCCTCCAACATGGACCAAGGTCCAAGGATCCACCATTCTGCCTGCGAAGTAGCCATCAAGAGTTGAACAGTTCCTAGAGTCAATATTGGGCCTAATGACACATATCCTCCAATAATGCACCGTGAACCCTTGGCACTTCCACCTCGCTGACCACGTGGATGGGTGTATCCCGGCTGCGGGAGGGCTCCAACCTGCGTTTGGATTGGAGCATTCCGACCTTGTCCCTCCGCGTTGAAGGGGTTCAATCAAACTCATCCATGTCACGAAGGGGTATCTTTTTCCCGATTGTAGACGCCGTGCTCCAGCTTTGGGGTCAGAAACCAAGCAGTGAGAGCTGTGGCGCATCTCAAAGAGGAGCTTCCTTCCGGGCATAGATGCTGCTGCGGCACACGGGGCAACTCTGCACCTTGACCAGCCATTCAGCGATGCACTCCTGGTGGAAGACATGCCCACATCGGAGCTCACACCAAGCTGGCTCGCTTCCGGGATGTGCCTCCTCATCGCGAACACCCAGGCAGACCACACACTCTGCCTCTTGAGGTGGGATGGGGCGAATCGCCAGCAGCCAGGAGGCAAGGTGGTTGGATCGGAAAATCTTCAGGCCGAACCAGTTCTGCAGCGCTGCGCTCACACGAGCAAAGGCCGCGCGCCCTGTGAACTGCTCCTGGCTTCGCGCATTGAAGCTGATGAAGACCACAATCATGGCCACCTGCATGATTAGGACCTGCAGCAGCAGAGCAGCCAAAATGTTGGTCTGATGAAAGGCTGCCTCTGGGGACAGCTGCACTTCTGCCCGCCAGTCATCTCGTGTCTCCAGCTCCATGGCTTCTTTTGCACTGAGAAGCTGGTAGCCTGCCTCTGCCAGCGCCAATGGCGAGGGGCTGACGGTGGGCGGGACCTCGATCTGCGCGGCCAAGGCGAAGCCCACACTCCTAGTCTCGCCGTCAAAGGCCGTGAAATACTTCCGTAGGAATGGCTGTCCCAGGATCAAGACGTCCTTGAAGGTTTCGGGCAGGTCGGTGGGGACAAACATGGCTTCGCAACTGGAGTCCCGGTAATCCTGGGCGTCCAAGTGCAGCATCTGCCCCTCCACCTCAAAGGTCACTTGCGGTCCATCGCACACCTTCTCCTTCAATGCTGCCATCAATCGCTGGTACATGGCAGGGGGCAAACCCACGCCGGCCGCAGAGGTGTCAATGACGGCGCGACAACTGCTTTCGTTGCCCATCCGATTGGAGCAGGCCACCGTCCGGTTCCCGATCCGCAAGCCATGAAGAGCAAATTGCCAGTAGCCCTCCTCTGGGCGGAGCACGGAGATCCAGTTCAAGGAGCTCATGTGGCTCATGCCTATGCCGATGGACAGCTGACCACGCTCGGCCCCAAGCCACAGTGAGAAGGACTTGGACAGGTTTGACTGGAAGCAGCTCAGCGGATGGAAGATTGGATTTGCTGCCAACTGGCTCATGCCCAAGCCGACGATCCCATCTTGGACCATGGCACGGAAGGGCACGTCGCTCATGTTGGTCACTGCCACCAAACCCAACTCTGTGCAATGCTGTGGGCCTCCCAGACAGACTAGGTCTAAGAGGAGATCACCAAAAGCATTGCCAGAGCCATGGTCGATGCTGGAGACACCCACTGTGATTGCATCCCGGCGGATCATCAGTGATCCGGGTAGCATCTGCACCTGGGTGCCGTCGGCGTTCACTTCCTTCGCTGAGGAGCTGGCGCCGATTGCAAAGCGCTGGTGCTCTTTGCATGCTAAACTTTGGCATCTGCTGGATGGAATGATGACCTGGCCGGAGGCCGTGTCAAAGCTCACCCGAAGGCGTTGCATCTTTGGCGAACCGATGAAGAGGTCACCCACATAGGCCGAATTGCGCCAGTTCAAGCCCTCACCACTGTAGGTCCTGGTGAGCTCAACTACAATAGGCGCTTTCTCTACCTTAGCACTGTCAGCACGTAATGCCTTAGGACTCTGCACCACAGCTAAGAAGGACGAGGCATCTTCCTCGAAGCCAAAAGTTTCTTGTCCCACAGCAACAACGAGCACAGAAATCGAAATGAACCAAGACATCTGCATGTCACGTAGTCGTTTGAGTTGTAGATCCTTCGCTAATCAAGTAGTCGTGAGTGAAGGTTGGCGTAGAGCGTGATTGAAGAGCTGTTCACAAAACAGCTTAAGCCAAAACGGCTACGGTTTCCGTCCTTTAACCATGCCTTGGTTTGCCCCCCCTTCAAAGAGCTTCTACTGAGATCCACATCTTCTTTGAGCGGTTGCCGCGTCGATCATGGGATCCAAAAGGGCAAATCTACGCTGATCCCAACACACAAGAGTCATAGAAAGCGTTGGGGACATACATCACCAAGTGTTACAAAAGAATCACTAAATTTTGACAAAGACACTCATTGTCTCTACTGTAAGTCTTGATATCACTGTGCCATGTCCACTAAATTGTGACCATTTTGAACGTATTTTCACCCTGGACTTGTTCACCAGCGTCTCCAACCACGACCCAAAGTGCTTTGATATTGATTCATTTAAGGATCTTTACCTTGGCAGAACTTCCTTCGACTTCTCCCCTTGTCAGAAAACAAAACCCGTCCACGCCTGCTGGGCGTCCGCATCTCGTGCGGCCTTCACATCTCGAGATTAACCGTGATGAAAAACAACAAGTACCATCTAAACCACGGAACTTGGGGATTGTGCCATCTACTCTGAAACCACTGTAAATGGCCAACGCATGTGCTTTTCTCGCCCTTGACTCAGGCCTTGACTCAGGCCTTTCAATGCCAGCTTGCCGCTTTCGCCTGGGAAGAAGAAATTCGTTCTCCGCGACGTGGGTGGGACAAATCCTTTCCATTTCAGGATGATGAAGGTGGATGAGCCTCTTCTTGGTCGGTGTGGCAGTTCTATCAACAGCCGCCGCCTCCTTTTCCTGGGCGAACAGGTGCAAATCGTGGAGGTCATTTCCGGAAGCAGGCCACAGAATTTGTCTAGTTTCTAGTTTCTGACCTGGTAGGCTTCAATCACCGCCCACGAAACAAAGGCTGCCACAAACTGGCGGAGCAAAGAGAACAAATCTTCCCAACGTCTTGGGGATTTAGCTTGTGGGCACCTAAATCAAACATGTATATTTTAAGCAAAAGATTATACATATGTATATATATTATATATATATATAATATATATATATATGTATAATATATATATATAATATATATATATAATCTATATTTATCTATGTAATATCAGTTAATGAGGGGACCCTCTGCGTCACACTATGGCGAACCTGGCCCCCGAGCCCGTCGGCCTTCCCACTGAACCCTTTCTCAGCGCGCCTGACTCCTCAACTTGGCCTTGCGAGCTGCCAGCGCCTCGCGGAGCTGCTCCTTGGAGGCGCCGGAGCTGTTCGGGCCAGCTGTTCCTGGCCGGGCGCGAGGCGGAGTGGCCACAAGACCCACATCAGGAAAGCACCTAAAAGCAGGGTTGGAATCTGCTTTGACCTGCAGTTGGCACTGAATACAAGCGAATAACTTGACCTCTTACCTACCTAAACTATGCTAAACTGCTATTGCTGCAGTAAGAGTCAGGATTCTCCCAAACACTGCCAGTGAGGGTCTGTCTCTACCAGCTCAAAATTGCCTCATCGGCTGCGTGTTCTGAGTGCTCAAAATCACTGACGATGCCAGTGCCGCAGACGATGCCAGCGCTGCCTGGCAGCTTGGCCTCCTGCTGAATGGCCTTGGTGCGCTCAGCAATCCTGGGCGCACTCAGCAACTCAGAAATCCCTCGGTGCTAAAGATCATTTGTAGGTATATTGTAGAACCAGTCAACGACAGGTTCACGGCGCACGTTTTCGCCTCATGCGTAGCAGCTATATGGCTTAGGCCTAGAAGGCCGCGGAAAAGGGTGCAACTTCCACGAATCCGTCACTGAGACATGCGTCATGGTTTCACAGCTGATCTCCTCTCTTTGTGGATCAGCGACGGATGCGTGCTGAAGCAACTAATGAGCTTCGATGCACAGGTGCCGAGACTGGCACGAAGGTTCTTCAAATCTCGCATGTCAATGCCTTCTTCAAGGCTTCGCCAGGTCAAGGCGTGAGCTCCCTCTAGACAGGCAAAGGTGAACCTGTACGGAAGTGAGTCCACTTTGAAGCGTGGCTCGGGAGAACGAAAGGAGCGGGCATTTGAGCAAACATGCACTGCCAAGTCTTCTGAAATTCTGTGCCAACCTGGCTGGGTGCTTAACTTCATCACATGCCCATATATCGGGCTGGTGCTCTCAAAAAGGGGTGCCCAAATCACTACGAACATCATCATGAACTACCTTTTTGGCAGCCTTCCCCTTGGAGCTTTGCTTCACAAAGCTTGGAGAATATCGGATGCTCCAGCGACATGCATCGAGGATCCGCAAAAGGTGGGCGGAATCCATGTCCTTCGTTCCGCAATCCACGAAGAGGTTCTCGGTGGATGTCCAACGCAACATCGTGTTGCACCGGGCCAGCATGGACCTGATCCAAGCCACTGTGAAGGCAAGTGACTTCTGCGACCCATACGACGGGGTTGAGCTCGACCCTTTGTCGTAGGCATCCTTGGAGTCGGTGACAACCACCATGGAGATGGAATCTGTGCTCACCTCGAAGGGCTTCTTATCCAAGGCATAGCCATGGGCCTCAGCTAGCACTCCTCTGCAGTACTGTCCTGCATCCATGGCCTCCTCAATGCCGAGCAATTCAGCGGCGAAGGTTGATCTACAAACTCTTTGAAGCCTGTGCGATCGAGCGTCGAGGATCGCAAACTGTCCTTCATTGCCATCAAGGAGTTGGCGGTCTGCCAAGAGGACATAGTATGAGACTTGGCTGTAGACTTTCTGGAGGCTTTCAGCTTGGGAACTCCCGGCCTTCGTCATGTTTCCCAGAGAAGCGTCAGAAACGACGACGATGCCACTGTCCTTGAGGGTCATGGGTTTAAACTTCAGCGCAAAGGTGGGATTCTCTTTCACCTTTCTCACAAGCAAATTTGCCCTCAAGAGAGTTCCAATTGTAGGGCTCGCTGATTCGCCCTGCAAGCTTGACAGCTGGAAGGCAACATCATAGCGGATCTGGGCCACCAACCACTGAAGGGAGCCAAGGACTGCCCGCAGTTGCTTGTGTTCTGAAGGATGTAGCGCAGCATCTGGTGTCTTCTTTCGATCTGGAGATATCTTCACCTGCTGCAAGTTCGAGTGATACTCCTCCATGGACACGGAGATGGTGCCATCATCGAGCTGCTCTATCTTTTTGCCACAGTAGACAAAGGACTTGTTGGAGATGGATCCAAAGCCCAGTTCTTGACCCAGAGATTCTAGGGTCTTTTGAGCACGCTCATTGCCACCCATCAAAAGGTCATCCACGTGGGACAACATGATGCCTTCCAACTCGGAGCCATCTTCACTCCATAGCATCCACATGGCGCTGTCTAGCACCGAGATCTTCCAGCCTCGTTTGATCACCGCCTTGTTGAGCCGCTGGTACCATCGGCGCGGACTGTCTGCCAAGCCGAAGATGCCTTTCTTGACCCTGCATAGGCCATGAGGTGAGAAGGGCAAGGTGGGTTCATCAGCATGCTTGGTCCGGATGTTGGCCAAGTAAAGGATCCTTTCTTCAGGCCCAAACTCTTCACCCTTGAGAAAGGCCGACTTGATGTCAGCTGACCACAAACTCCACTTGCTTGAAGCCGTGTAGGCCAGGAGCAAATGCTGACTTGTCCTTGACGCTGTTGGGGCGTCGCATCTGATGCCATAGGCCGATATGTCCTGGTACCCGGGGACCACCAGGCGAGCGTTCGCCAGCAAGGGAAGCTGATTGGTCTCCGTTCGAAGGCCGTCATTCTTGTCCACCATCACATAACGAGGGACCAAGATGCGGTGACTTTGGTTCTCAGCTCTCAGTCGCGCACGAATGCGCCCTGCTTCATCATCTGGAAGGATCTCGACTGCGTCATTGTCTGTCCAGACTTGCCAGCCTTTGAGGGCGGCTGCATGGAATTCCTTTTTCTCAAACTCTGTCAAAGAGTTCCAGGACTTTTCCTTCCTGGCCGTGAGGACGGCAAGGACTTCAGAAGCAGCTTCGTGGTTGCCAAGCGGCCAAGTCTGACCAAGAAGCTTCATTCTTTGCCAGGTTGTCCTTGAAGGGAGTGGCCAATCACCACGCCAAGTGCCATGATCTAGCACTTTGCTTCCGAGAGGATCGCGACGATCCATAGCAGCCAAGGCTTGTAGTTGTCTAAGAGGATGGAGTTCCGCTTTCGCTTGTAGTTCCATCACCTCATAAGGCAAAGCGGTCACATTCAGCACTTCACTGGACTGAGGAGCAGTGACTGAAGTCGCCGGAGGTGGAATCTCATCAGCCTCTTGAACTTCTTCCCGAAGTTGTTCAGCATCAAGCTCAGCCGAGCGTTTATTGCCAGCTTCTGGAACAGGAACTTCGGTTGCTCGTTCTTGTGCTTGGAGCAGTGCTTTCTGAAGAGTTTGCGGAAACGGAGACTGAGATAGGTCAAAGCTCGGTCTCATCACTGAAGAGCTCCTTCTGGTGCTCGATCCAAAAGCTCCTTCAGCTCCTGGTGTCAAGGCTCGAGACATTCCAGCCACCATCTCCTGCGGTTGAAGAGGAGGAAGATCATGTGGAGCTGCGGACGAAGGTAATCCTTGAGCTTGAGGGATCACTGGAGTTTCAGGTTCGAACACTTCCTGAGGTTGCCCTTCACGACGTGCTGTTTCTGGTACTGCAGATTCGGAATCTCGAACTTCAGAGTTCCTGGACTGGTCGTGGCAAGCTGCCTCAATCACTTCTTGAATAGCATCTTCCCAGACAGAGGTGGCCACTTGTTCCATAGTGCTCGCAGCCCTCAGGTGTTCTAGAGCGCACTTTGTCAATTGGCCCCGATAGCTCACGAAGCCGTTCGTGTGGCCCTCCAAAGCAATGAGAAGAGCTGGTCCATGCCATCGTCGAAGACTGAGGCGCTTCTTGGAACCTGAGGTCTTGTTGTTGTAGCGAGTCTGCCTGTAGAAGTAGACTATCTGCCCAGGTTGAAGGTTGTGCTCAATGGTGGATGTTCTCGATCTGGCTGTTTCGGCCCGTCGAAGACCTTTGGAGAAGTGCATTCTCAACATAGCAATCCGGGCTGACTCTCTGATGGCCACTTGTCGAGCCAGGCTGGGCTTTGACTCGATTAGCCCGCGCTCGCTCAACCTTCTTCCAAAGTCGCCAAGGGTGTCACCATGGAGACGAGGCTGACGGCCAAAAGCGGCCTGATTGGGCGTGACACCGGCATCAGTCATGTCGCTGTTGTAAGCAGCTACAGCCTCTTGAATGCACACGTCCATGTCATCTCGTGCGCTCACTGAATGTGCTTTCACCAAAGCCTTGATGATGCCCTTGAGAATGGAGCCACCACGTTCTGCGATTCCGTTTTGCCATGGAGCTTGAACTGCTGTGTGGTGCAAGTAGATGGAATGCCCACTGCAGTACTCTTCAAAGACATGAGAAACAAACTCTCTTCCTTGATCCGCCACCAGGGTGCGCGGTGCGCCAAGAACTGGAAGCCACCTTGTGGACAGGAAGCGAGCGACCATGTCTGAGGATTTCTGGTCCACCAATTCGGCCATTTGAAGCCGCGACACGAAGTCAACTGCATGAACCACATAGTAACGGCGCTCTTGGAGATCGAAGACCTCGAAGATGTCGATGAACACCTGGTCGCCAACATCTTTTGGCGTAGGCAAACTGGTAGGTCTCCTCGCCTTGGGAGCACGCTGCTCATCACAAATGGAGCAACGTAGGTGCAAGGCTCCTCTCACCACATCTGCTGGCGCACCCGCAATGGCCAATGCTCTGGCTAAACGTTTTCCAGAACGGTGACCAGTGTTCTCGTGCAATCTTTTGAGCGCTAGCTTCACTCCAGCTGGAAGTTTGGCATCTCCTTTAGGTTCAGGAAGATCTGGAAGCTCTGCTTCTGAATCGCTGTCATCGAGTGCAGCGGGGTAATGTTCAGCTTCTCCTTCTTCAACAGCTAAGGTGGAGTGAGGCGATCCAGGCAAATTGCCAGGGTGAGGCCTTTTGAAATCGGCTTCAAACTGCCTTTCCATTCCCTTCACGAGAGTCTTGGCGAGCTCCCATGGATAGTGACCGGAAGGTCTTGAGATGTGCGCTCCACCGATGACGTGCTCGTGGTCGTGGTTTCCCAAGCACTTCATGCCATCTAAGGTCTGTACGATGTAGTCGCTCGAAGTAGCCAAGCGAGTTGCTTTGCGGACCAACTGTCCATTGCGTCCTCGAAGGCCAAAGCGACATTGATGGAAGTCCACCAAACGAGCTTGCAAGGCAGACAGGGCTTTTTGCATCTCATCCAAAGACCATGCTCTGGAGCTTTGAGGATTCTCCAGAACGAAGTGCAAACCACGGGCATGTTGATCACGAGCCAGCTGTATAGCGAAGCGGAGCAACTGCATCGCTTCTTTCAGCCTTCTCTCATGATCCTTCGGAGGATTCAGGTTCAGGAGGATGCTCCAGAAACTGCAAGGGAAGGCAATCACCAGGAAATAGGGGATCTCCTTAGACAAAAGCTTTCGAGCCACCTCGCGGTCATGACTCCGCAAGAAATTCCAGCCCGTTTCCAATGACAAAGGTGATCCGGTGACGTGCCCACGTTGCTGTGCAGCTTTGGTGACTCTCTGAGTCGTGGTGTAGATCTCACTCATGAAGGTCTTTGGCTTCACGAACTTTCCGGAGTCATTCTTGAACTTGTTGACATTCGGTGTGAGCTTGGCATTCGATGGATTCTTGACATTCTGAGAAGCGTCTTCATTCGGAGAGGTGTCATCATCGAGGCCAATGACAACGGAGGTCAGGAAGACATCGTTTTGGGCCTCATTCACTGTCGCTTCCCATTCACCAGCGTAGATCTCGTTGACCTCATAGGCACTCAGAGATACCAAACGACGGTCTCGGCAGTGCTTGTTCCAGGCTTCTGAGATCAGCTGAGCTTGCCCTGGTTTGACATCTTGATGAAGTCGCCAGGGGTTCGAAGTCAACTCCATCAAATCTCGCGAGGAGGAATGCCGTTGGCCATCCGCCAATCCAGATCTTCTTGAATGTGGTCGGCATTCATCTGGCGGATCTCCTCGGGTGTCCAGCCATGAAAACGTCCGTCCTCCATGGTCTCGTCTGGAGGAGCGTCCCATCCGGTGAGAATCGGATGGCCAGCCATTGCCTTGGGGACTGGCTGAGAGGTCACGTGTTGCATGACCTGATTCAGCATGGTCTGGAACTTCTGATCCTGAGCTGCCAGCAGTTCGTGAACATCTTGAACTGAGATCATCTGCGGGCCGTCGAATCGACGTGGAGCCTCCATCACCTGTGGCGCGGAGGTAGGCTTGGCTTTCGCCTGAGAGGCGGGAATTGCCGGATCTGTCGAGCTCTTTGAACTGCTGCTGCTCGGCTTCGGTTTTGCCATGAGCTCGGCAATCATGGGTCGGCAAGCCGCCTTGATCTGCTCGTTGGTCATCTTGGAGTCGAGGGTCACGTTGAGGAGGGCAGCCAGGCGAATGAGGTCGGCTTTGAGTGACGGTAGGCCACCCTTTGGTCCGATCAGCTGTCGAACGGCAGCTTCTTGATCTTCCTGAGACTTCATCGCTGCTGCCTTGATTTGAGCCTCTTGGAAAGCTTCTTTCTTCAACTGCGTAGTGATGCCCTTGTTCGCACGGGCTGCCAGCATTCCTTGAAGAAGGCTGTCCTCTACGAAGGCGAATTGCAGGCCAACACGATTGCGGAACTGACCCAGTTCCACTAGGTTCTTGGTCTCGTAGACCTGGTTGATGCAGCTTCTCGTGTAGTGCTCCTTGAGGATGGCTTTGGGCCGCTGCGCAGTCATTGAGACCGCTTGTTCCTCCCACTGCTTGACGTTCGAGATGCTTGGATATGGGAAGGGAGCATACCGCAGATGCGGTCGCTGCAGCAACCATAAGAGCAATCCACGGCCGTGCCATTCGGCGCGAGCCCGCTGTCGTAGCACCATGCGCCTCCACTTGGCGATCATCCCTGAGGTGTCCTGAGTGAGGTCGTGCACGATCGCTTGAGAGGCCATTTGGTCCTTGGTCACTGGTAGTCGTCGGTCGGCAGGAGGTAGTAGGAGTCGTCGACGGAAGGGTCAGAGGGGTTTGAGCCACCGTCATCGCTTGAGCCATTGCCGACAAGGAACGTTCAGTGACCAGGTGCTCGTGCGGTGCTGCAGGTGCTTGCAAAACATCAAAACGAGCTAAACGAGAAAGAAGTTTCTTGTTCCACCAATCGTGACAGTTCAACTGCATCTCGACAACACCATCTTGACCAAAGCTTCGCCAGCGTTGAGTGCCCGGACGCATCCAATCTCCCGTTGGTGGCAAAGGCAGGGTGAAGTGTCCTGCAGCAAGTTGACCCAAATCGTGCAACTCATTGTTGACAAGGTCCGCCCGAAGCTTCTTGCGAGCGAACGACATCACTGCACCAATCCCACTCAAAAATCTCTCCCCAACAATAATCCCAATGATGCTACCGGCACAATGGAAACCCAGACCGTGATAAGGGTGGAGCCAATCATCATAGGTAGCCTGTACCGAACATTTGAACGTTGGGTGCCGCCATTTCCAAAACGGAACAGCTCATTCTCAGAGACATGGGAAACCAGGTGCTGGATATACTTTGGGGCTTGCTTCAACATTTCCAAGTAACACTTCAACCAGGTGGATCCGGCGCAGGTCCTATTGCAAGCTGAGTCCAACGCACCAACAAACTGTTTGTCAACAGCCAACTGAGCATTGGTGCTCACTGCAACTTTGTCGTGGGATTGCGCCAGCACTTCCGACAAGGGCAGGCCAAAGGTCTCTGCCGACAATGTCAACACTTCATGCTCAACCAATGAATCGACACGCCTTGCAACCGACTGTCCTTTCAACGACATGCCAACCGATTGATCAACCAACACATCTGTGTCAACCAATGTGTCAACCGACTTGTCAACCAATGTTGTCAACATCATCACTTCACGCTCAACCGGTGGTTCAACCAATGCATCACTTTCCAACAAATGCTCCGTGTTGAGGGCTTCAGTCACACGCACTTGCTTCGCTGGAGAGGAAGTGCTCAGACCTTTGCCACGGCCTTTCTTTTCCAAGCCAGCTCCGGGCTTTGCACATGCGGAGTCACCCGCCCAATGTCCAGGTTCTCCACAATCAAAACAACGGGTGTTGGCCTTCTGCTTGGGAACCTGATTGCCATGCGGTTTCTTGCCAGCTGAAAAGGATGATGATGCGGCCTTACCATAGCCGCGGTCCTTCTTCACTTCAGCAATGCGGCTTCGGGCTTCACGCATGGTCACCAGGCTTTCAGCGGCCTGTTCAAGGCCTGATTCCAACTCCTCCAAAACTGAAGCTTCGCAACCCTGGTCCTCCAACTCCTGGATCTCGCTTGCCAAGTATTCAGCTTCGGCTTGAAGTACCTCTTCAATCGACTGGGGTGAAGCTTCCTCAGCCGGAATCAGTTCAGTGTCTTCTTCAAGCTCGGGCTCATACTGTTCAGCATCCTCTGGCAGCTCTGTCACCAGAGCCTGACGAGGTGGTGCACCGCTGTTTCCGAACCGACGGAAAGGTGGCCGACTCGAAGCTGAAGCTGAGCTCTGTGACCTGAATGAACGAACAGAGCGAGTGGCAGAACTGGGGGACCTGTACGACGTGTTGCTATTGTGCGACTGCAAAAATCTCTGCAACAACGGGGGCTTGTCTGCATGCTTGGCCTTGTAAAGAGGATCGGAGGTGTGCAAATCACGAAACAACCGAAGGCACTCCGTTTCCACAACATCATAGGATTCCCGACCAGCCAATGCGGTTTCCAACAATTGTTTGCGAATCGGGTCCAATCCAAGGCGTTCCTTAAGCATCCAACCAAGCTCTTCCTCAGGCATTGCAATGCCTTCTCTTTTGAGATCTGCAGCAAGCGTTCTGAACCGTGTGCAAAATGCACTAATCCTTTCGCCAGCATTTCTTTTGATCTCTTGATAGTACATGGCGCGAAGTTCACCTTTTCGGTCCAAGCTCGACTTTCCAACGGTAGCCTCCAAGGCGTCCATCAGCTTGGTGAGTCCAGCAAAAGGGTCGGCAGGTGTCACAATGATCTTCTCTTTTGTTTCTGGATCTTCCATGGATTCCTCTTGGATGCCAACCAACTCCGACGGATCAAATTCCTCACATCGAGCTCGAACAACTCCATGTTGTCTCAAGGCCCAACGGGCTGCAACGTTGAACTTCTTACAGCTTTCGCTGTCCAAGGAGGCAATCCACCAATTCATCTCTCGGCGGAAAGTCCTCCACTCGGCCGGATTGCCCGACCAGGTAGGGACCCTGTACCAACTCGATGTCCCCGACTCTTCTGAGCTTGCTGCCATGCTGTTGAGGTGCAAGGGAGGCAAAGGCTAGGCCTCTAAAAACAACTGACAAGGTTCGAAGTTTCAAAGGAAGGCCGCTTGTTGAGGCCTTCTGCAAAAGGTGGAGCCTAGGTGCTCCAAAAGTAGTGAACGGGGTGCTGGTCCTCTACGAGGGTTAAGCAGTCAAAGACGAACACAAGGAGAAAGTTCCAAAAGGGGCGTGCAAAAGGTACACAAAGACAATGAAAGTCCGAAGGTGCAAAAGTAGCGAGGCCAAGGGTCACCTCTTTGGGCTCGAAGGTCGCTGCCCGGAACACCGCCGTGCAAGGACAACCTAGGAAACCTCAGAGCGTAGTTCTGGCCAAAGAAAAGGACAAAGCTAGGGAGCGGCAGCGGGCGCGAGGGCAACCAAGCAAAGGTCCTGAAAGGGAGGCTCCGGTGCCACTGTAGAACCAGTCAACGACAGGTTCACGGCGCACGTTTTCGCCTCATGCGTAGCAGCTATATGGCTTAGGCCTAGAAGGCCGCGGAAAAGGGTGCAACTTCCACGAATCCGTCACTGAGACATGCGTCATGGTTTCACATATATAATGATCTGTACAATACAATATGAGCTCAAAAGGCAAGTGTCTCACAACCCAAAGCCACATACTTCCCAACTACAAGATCTATCGCCAATGCAGACTGGATCTAATTGCAAAAACACAATAGACTATTGGACCCATGCACTTCTGCAACAACTACCCTTTTCCAGACACCACACCCAGGAAAGCCCCGTCACACCTCTGCCGAACCTCTTGCTGCGATTGCTTGAAGTCTTCGCACTTTTCCTACAACGAAGTGGGCTGGAACAGGATGGGAGATGGTATGTCGAGGGGACTCCAAAGTGAACAAGCTTCATCAAGGAATTGCATCATTCGTGCCTAGTGTGGCTTGGTCTATGGTTGGTGCGTACGTGACGGAGGTCGATGAGATGCATTATTTGAAAAGGAGTAGTTTGAGACTCGACACAACTTTCCTTTGGGCTACAGCCTTGCGCCATTATTCTTCCAGCACGAAACAATGTCTCTTGGGATCAGTTCATGACTGCACAAGAAACAATCTGCAGCTGATCCGCCATTTTGCTCAGCAATCCATCATCATCTATGGAAGCACCTTCCGACACCACCTCTTCTCTGTCTACATCTGTGTCATCTGTCTTTGTGCTACATCTTTATGCTGTTCTGCGCATCTGCTCAGGATCTGCCAGCTGGAGTCCATCTAGGCAATGCACTCATCCACAACCAAGCCTTAGCTTAACTCAAACGTCCTCCGTCGCTGTTTTTCAGAACGCGCGCGTGCCGTTCACATGGGGGCGACGAGTGTCGTCATCCACACCACATCCCGAATTCTCGGTGAGGAAATGACAGGATAGTCCACATCCAGGAGATTCTCTCTTTGGCAGTCTCGACCTTCGTTTCTCCTTGAGGCCATCAACGTCTCCAAGCCCAACAGTTTGTTCACCAGAGCACTTGGTGACCTTAACACCTGGTTACCTAGTCACCTAGTAGTGCGTCTTCCTTTTTGAGACTGAGAGGCAGTTGAAGATCCCCACACCGGCTTTTCGCACTCCACATTGGTAGTATTCACCGCTTCGATACTTCATGTAGCTCTCAAGACACTTCTTTTCATCCCTGATGGTGTCACAGGGGAATCCTTGGCGCAGCTGGCATGCCGAGTGGTGCAGGTTGGCTCGGCAAGGGGAGCAAACCAAAGAGTGTCCAATCAAAACCAAGTGCGACAAAAGAAGTTGTTCTTGGCTTCCCCCTGCCGAGAAGAAATGGTAGCCAATTAGCAGCTCGTAGCTGTAAGCAGCTTTCAACTGACCAAGTTTCATGCGGTAGTTGAGCCCATGAGAGCTGTTTTCATGCCATTTCTCCAGGGAACTTGCTACACATGACTCCCAACAAAATATACAAACTTTTGTGGCTTCAGCTGTGCATGCCAAAATGCGATCGTTGTCCTTTTCTGGAATCGCTGTGCCTTTGCAAGCAGCTGGCTTGCCAATTGGTGTTCCATAGATTTCCCAATCATTAATGGCAAAGTGTCCTCCACCGCACCTGGTCGGGACAGATCGACATTTGTCCGGCGCAAGCCTGGCAGCCTCTGAAATGGACCAAAAATCCGATCAAAAGCAAGAATCAGACTTAATTGTAATGACCCAAATGGAAGCTTCGGATTGGAGATCTGGAGATCACTAAATAATACAAGTAAGGAACAATTGTTGATAAAAAGGAAAATCAATTGAACCACGTATATATATATATATACATACATACATACACAAAAGACCAGCCAGGCAAGACGAAAAAAAAGAAACAAGCATAGCGCAATAAGGATCGCAAGCATAAAACGAAAAACCTCAAGACGAAAGGTTGACGGGGAGGGCGGGGGATGACAAGGGCCTCATTTTCTATTATTGTTCCTATGTGTGTCCTTTCTTCCTATTTTTGTCCTACAGTTGTCCTTAGAAGTCGCTGCCGCTTTCCTCTCCAAACCATCCAAAAGTCCTCAGTGAACGTGCTGCTAGATGACAAATACCGTCCTCCTCCTCGTGCACCACTCGCGCCTGTCTTTCATGACGATCTTCACGAACTTCGTTTTCTCAGGCCATCCAGCATGCTCGGTCACTCGGTCTTTCTTGCACTGCAGGGAGGTTTCTGTGCGTACCTCCTCCCAGGCAATGCCATCAACAGATCCTCGGAGCTTCGGGAAGGCGCAGAGTTTTGGCACGCCTTCTTGGCCCGCTCGCTCTCCCCCCCCCTCCCTACTTTATTAAGTAGAGACTACCTACTTAATTAAGCAAAAAAGGGTAGCTATTAGGTACAGGACGCTCCTAGTTAGCACGCAGTATAGCTCACGCTCGCACTATTCATTTGGCTCCTAGATGTTTAGGGAAACTTACATTTCCTATGCCAGTTTCCTACGCGCGTTTCCTTTGCTCAGATGTGACATGTCAGACTGGCTTCGTGGGATCGCCGACTCGCACCAAAGTCTTCACTGGCGCCAAGGGGCGAAAGATCTCCATCGTCTTCCAGCCATAGTTCACATGGCCCCTGGTGAAAGCCAAAAAGTCTGGTGAGTGTGTAGGAAAACGGATTCAGCGGGGTGGTCCTTCTGTGAAGGATGGTCGGCTTCGGTTTGCTGTACTTAGGCACTCGTGGCACTCTTGCCCCATTTCGGCTGGAAGGGACGCCGAGCCTTTTTTGTTTTGATGAAAGCTGAGCCTGATTATACGTAGTTGGGATGCCTGATACCTCGACATGCAGTTCAGGTTGGGCAGGCAAAACTGGACGCACGCTGGAAGTGTATCGAAACGTTTTGCCACACAAAGCAATCAGGACCGGGTTCTCTGAAATTCACGTGTTACTCAGCAGGACATAAGGATGCCTACTGTTCGCAGGTGGACCGGGCACGTCCGCCTCACATTCTTGTTCAGCTGTCCTACAGTGGTAGGAATGAGATGGAATGAGTTTAACTCATAATTCTAGGGGCTCCTGGCCTTACTACTAGGAGCAAGGACGCTACTAGGGGCTCCTGGCATCGCTACTAGGAGCATTCTTACTAGTAACAAGGAGCTACTAGGGGCTTGACAAGTCTCACAGGAACTTCCTGGCAGTCCGAGAGGATGGAGATCGATCTCAGTTCCTCGTGAGAAGGGGTTTGGGTGGTTCCTGGAAGTTCTGCCGTTCTGCTAATTCCCCTGGGGTCTTCTATCAGTATATAAATTAGATTGTTTGAACCAACAAACTTGGGGTGCTTTACAAAAGTGTTGCCAAAAAGCCTTGAGCTGTGGATCAATTGAAAAAAAAACATGGGGGCACCCAGTGACTGGTGCCTCCAACCTCAGTTAACCTGCTGCATCGACACCCTCCGACACCTTCGAACTACTCCTTCCAAGCAGCGGAGTGGAGAGTTTCATGCTCTCGATCTTGGAAGAGGTCCCAAGATTCAAAGTCAAAGAGCTGGGGTAGTCGCCATCTCCTGCATGCCAGACCTCAGCGCGTCAAAGATTTCGACAGCATGTGTTTCTTCTGCATCAAGATAAGTTCCCAACAAACACACACCTGTCTGCCTACAGCAGCCATTGGTTGCCTCAGTCAATCCCAAAACAATGGTTGCAAATATTTAGACTTGGTTCTGCTCCTCACAAAAGCTCACTGGAGCTGTCAAGAACAGGGATGAGTCTATCAGCGCCAAAGAACTTGAGGTCCCCACATAATTAATATTGAAACAACAAAGGTCTACCTATGTGACTCTGCTGGAATGAGGCATCCGAAAATGTTATAAGACCGGGATAAAGGAACCTCAGAGCTTGCTTGTTCAAAAGCCTGCGCATGGTCCATTCCCTTTCTGAGCTTCGTTGTGAGTCCCTAGCCGTGTTGGTCTATTCACCGTACCTACTGATGCACAATCTATTGCCTCACTCTATTTCTTTGCATGTGCTATGGCTCGGCACCACCCAACCCATCTATCGCACCACCCAACCCATCTATCTATCTATCTATCTATCTATCTATCATATTAGCGAACAGCTTGAAACTTCAAAGGATGTTTCATAACACTGTCAGCCGAGCCATTCTTGCACATCACGGCATGCAACGGAACCGCAGACAGTCCCTCCACTGGAAGACCCCACTGCAGCGATCCGAGGTACTTGCATGTACAAACCGTCAGTGGCTTGCTCAAATGGCCCCCATTTGTTGGACTCGGAGGAGCCAGTAGGAATGAGGCTCTTCGCGAGATTGTGCGCTCCAGTGTCTAAATCGCCATACACCTGAACTCTAATGCCGAACATGGGTCGGAACAAGCTTGCAGGGTCGGAAGATCCGAAAAAGACAAAAAGAGAAACAACTGGTTTCCTCTTTTTGGGCCGCCCTTACTTTTGTAATTAAGTAGGCGCCTACTTAAGTAAGTAAGGGCTAACTTGTTTGCTCCCTAGCTGCTGGACGGTCCTACATATGGACGCAGAATAGCTCACACTCGCACTGATGTTTCTTAGATTGTTTGGGAAACATCACCAGGGCTTACCTGAACTCTTGTCAAGTTCACAAATATTTGTAAAGGAAAATGATCGAAAGGCTCGCAACTACATCAAGAGCTTCTCATCTGTAGGAAGCGCCGTGATCGGAAACTGACATTGAGAGACACTGTGTTACTGTTACTGTTATAGTTATACTTTCTTTTGAAGGAAACTGTAAAGAGATATCCCTGTGGCTTCCCAGCTTCCTTTCCCTTCCTCTCTCATTCCATCCTTCTGTATCATATCCTTCAGTCCTTGAATCTTCATCCTGCATTCCTTCCATTTCCTTCCCAGTCCCTTTCCCATCCCCTGCCCGTCCCCTTTCGCCTTCCCTTCCCTTTCCTCACTCCCTTCCCTTCGCCCCTCGCCCTCATTCGCTTCCCTCAATTGATTACTATGCTTCACACATGCTTCTCTTAACTGTCTCAAATATAGCCAATACCAAGTCTTCTTTGTTGGCGAACCTTTCTCCAAAACATAAATCATAACACGCCCTGCCTGCTTCCCACCAGTAAAAATCTGCACATCACCAATCTCTCCGTCAAAGCTACGACCTCCGGTGATCTCCAAACATTCTTTGTCAGCCTTTCACCATTCGTTACTGAGATCAACACTTAGACAGCTCTTGAATCGAATCGCCACACTGTCCTCCAGTCTTGCCATGACTGAAAGTTTTTTTAGTTGAAAGTAGGCTTTTCCTGGTTTTAGAGCAAGTATCCAGTTGCACAAAACCACTTGCAAAGAAAATGCAAAGCATATCAAATCCTCACCGCTCTGGCACTGACCAGCGACCACGCTGGTCAAGCAAAAATACGCCACGCCTCCCAGCTCGATGGTTGAGACGGGCTTCATGACGAACTTTGAGCGTTGACTTGCAGAGTCTTTGATGGTACCTTCGATCCTCCCAGTGGAAAATAAGAATGTCAGGTTGAGAGAACGTCAGGTTGAGAGAAGTTAATGTACAAGGTACATGAGTGATATGGGGTGTGTGCTTTTTTGATTTCTCGCTGCGGACAAAAAGCAGGGCAAATGCATGCGCTTGTGGTCACACTCGCACAAACCCACATCTGCCCTGCTTGAACACCCGACCAGGAGGTAAAGTCATTCATCCGGCAGGCTGCCGGGCAAAACTAACATGCCTTGTGGCTTGCAACCAAATTGTTTGGGGATTCCAAGGACATGCGATGGCCGCATTAGATCACTGCCATCCACCTGTCCTCTGTCCATCCACAATGATTGCCGTACCGCTTAAGCCCTTGATAAGCTCCAGCGTGTGCCATTTGGCATCATCCATGCGGATTTTACTTGGAAGCCACCCGCCGGAATAGTCAATGCCACGTCCGTGCGGACCCAAGTTTGTTGTCGTTTGCCTCAAAGTTGAGCTAAATGGCTGGCGCATCGAAAGAAAAAGAAGCCGGTACCGTATCAACAAAGCCAGCTTGCGTCGAAAAGAACCACAAAACGCACGCGCAGGCAGTTCTTAGGGCCAAGGCACAAGTAGAAGCAAGAAAGGCCCTTTTGAGAGCCATAGGCTCCACCCAGACCGTGGGACACAAAGGCCATCCCGCTGTCGCCTTTCCCTTCAAACAGGGTTGGATAGTTCTGATTCCTTGCAAATGACGAAGAATGCGAACTGTAATGGTATGCTTGGATGACAGTCATGTTTGAACTTCACACAGCTGCCCCAGCTTAAGGCTGCACAAGGTTGCTTCCAAGTCACATGTTGTTGAACTTGACCTTCGCAACAATGCGGAAACCTTGCTGGCCAGGTTTAAGGAGACAGCAACCTCATTTTTGATTTCTCCCAGGATCACCATTCGTATCGTCATTGCTTTCAAAAATTCTTACCTAGGCTGTGTAGGGGTGCAAACGGGGCGCATGGGGTCCGCAGACCTGGCCTTCGCTTCAACCTGTTCTTGAACGTCCTTTGATTCTTACCTTTAGTCTTGTCAGCGGAGAAGCTCTTCTGAAATGATGCAGACCAAGCAGAGGCATCGATGGTCTCTTTAAGATTGAAGATCTTGATGGGTGGCTCCACCGTGTGGTTGCTCTCCGTGCGTAGCTCCATGCGAAGCGCTGAAGACACCATCAGTGTGGCCAGGAAGCTGAACATCGCACCCGGCAACTTCCTCCCACAAGTGTTTAGTCTGGGGATGTGAAGTCACTCATCGCCTCTAGGCCAATGACCAAAACGTACGGCCTGCAGCCTGAATATGTGATATATATATATATACATATATTTGTATATATATATATATACTGATCATCTACTCTAGACTGGGTGCTTGTCAACTATTGAACCCTGTCGTGTAAAACTTGCAAACCACAGTCGGAAACCATGGCGCTCACATGCTTGCCGAGTCTCATTGGTACAAGTTGCAGGTTCTCGTCTTGAGCACTGCGGCTACCCCAATAGATCAACCCATGTAAACTTGCTACCCACAAATGCTCGCAAGTGGGTCTAAAGATCGGCTTCATGGAAGCCACAAACGCTCGCATCTTTGAATTGCAAAGCTGTCATGTTGGAACGTATGTTTTCAAGCCACAAACATGTCGATGAAGCAAAGAAACTGAAGAAGCCTCTCGTCCATCCCTAAAAGGCTATAATATATATATATATATTTTTACACACTATAAACATATATGTATATTCTGATATGCTGTAGTATGTTTATGGTCGGAGGAGGTTCAAGGTCCTTTAGATCCTTCCAAGCTCAAGGAAGTTTGTTTCCATCAAAGACTGGGGACGTTGTCCACAGTCCAAGCCCCAAATCTCTCCTTCACTGCTTGCTCAAAACCAACACACCAACTGCCCTTCTGTCCAAATGTAACGTACTTGACACATCCAATTCATGGAAGTATTGCAAAGGACTTCAGATCCCTTGTAGGTATTGGGATCAACACCATGTGAGACAAACCCAGCTCGAATGCTCCACATAAGCGACAGCACATCGAAACTGAGTCTTCAAACGCTGAGCGCTTGAACTTCATGCAGGCATAGCTTCTCCCTCGGCTCAGGCTCCTTGGTTGGTGTGCATGATCCCCAATTGGGGAACCAAGAGCAATCATGAAGAAGACATCGGTGTGTATGCCCAAACTGAGGCGAATCAACCAACTTCTTAGAACCCAAAACCTCTCAGCTTGAAATTCATTCATATAGAGAGAAATATATTTTTGACATCGTAATTCACACATCTTACCCTTCATCTACTGTCTGTTGGGAAGGTTGAACTCTGAAGGCTGGGGGGCTCGACACTTCGTGAAGCAGCCTGACGATCAGCAAGACGATCACTGGTACCACCAACTGCTTTCATCAATGTCAAAGAAATAAGCTTCCACTTAAGGAATCTCTTGACATTGATGCACTTGACATTGTTAAGAAATTAAGTGATCTTGAGGAGAAGGAATGCACTTGACCACCCCTGAGTCACCAGTCCGTACTACTCTACTCCAGCCTCCGTTGGCTCTTGCGGCTCTTCTTGAGGCGACTGAGGTTCCTTCTCTGTGAGGGTCGGCTTCTTCTTCAAGGCAGCAAGGACCTCAACTCGGTCTTGAAAGCTCTCGATATGATCAATCACTGCATTGAACTGTATGTTGGAGGGGCACAACTGTTCAAGGGAATGAATGGCCCTGCAGAAGTCTTATATAAGCTTTTCAACAAGAGTGCTTTGCAAAGCCAATAGCAAATGAATATCACCACCTCCGCTGTCTGCATCTACCCATCACTTCACCGGCTCCCCATGCATCCGCCTCTTGCCGCTCCTTGAGGCTCTTCTCCAGCTCCGCCTCCTTCTTGGCCTGCAAAGCTGCCAGGCGCCGCGCTTGGAAGGCCTGGCACAACGATTCTTGGTCCTCTCTTTGCTTTTCATAGTGTCCTTGTTCCTAACCTAGTAGTAAGGCCAGGAGCGCCCCGTTCGTAGCGTCCGATCGCTCCGTTCGTAGCGATGCCCTTTGTTCCTAGTAGCGTCCTTGATCCTAGTAGGAGCGCCCCGTTCGTAGCGTCCGATCGCTCCGTTCGTAGCGATGCCTCTTGCTACTAGTAGCTTCTTGGTGCTACCTCTTCCTCATTTTGGTTTGAAAAAGTATGTTTAATCAGTTTAACAAGAGAACTTTAGGGACTGCACGGAAGGGGACAAATTGGTCTCACCTGACAGAGAATGAGTCCGGTATGGAACCCTCCAATCAAAGCACTCGGTGAACAGAATGAAGGGTTCAGCAAGCATAAACATCCCTTCAAACTGAAAATATCGTTCTGTCCTTCAGCCGCTCTCAATTCTTTTTGGCCGACACTTAATGTCAGTCCCCATCCTCTCAGCTCATCAGACCCCGCCTCCTCACGCTTGCGAACACGCCTCAAAGGCCCAATCAGATGAACAAATAGACTCTACAAACTTCAAACTTCAATCACCGGGTCTCTTTTTCGGGTTTGGCCTTTTCACTCAACACGAGTCTTCCGATCTCTGCAGAAAATCCAGACATCTGGACCAGGGCTCCCAGGCTCCGCTTCGTTCCGCTGCATGAGGTTGGGCTTGTGCGACCAGGGCTCCACTGCGATACTGCCGGGCGCCAGCATGTAGCAGCCCGGCGCAGCCGCATAAGGGCCTTGCCATGTGGATGTGCTATGCGGGCTGCATGGCATTTGGAAATCCTACTTTGGCTGTTTGGGTCTTGCTCATCTTTGTGGTGAAGTGGCCCCTGCGCGCACCGGGTTCCATGACCGTTTCAACTTTTTGGATCCTCTTTCATCAAGGATTTGTCCATTCTGTTCCTCCCGCAAGGGTAAGCCCGACCATTCAAACCAAAAATGCAAATTCCACCACTCAAGGCCTTGTTGTCCTACTTTCGGCGGGACTTGTCAATTCTAACCCAGAATTCCCTCTGATCCCTTCGCATCCCACGAGTTCCAAGGCACTCATGCGATTCGCAGGGATGCCATTCTGTGGAGCAGTTGGCATGCTCATCGTGATTGGTCGGTGTTGACCTGGCAGATGCAAACTGTCGCTCCGACCAGTGGATTGGGATGTGGAGTCTGCACAGTGGATCCGGGCCGGGCTTGTCCCATGAGAGCCTTCAAAAAGCTGACTCTAGAGTCCAAACTCTTTATCTACCAACCCACAAGCACCCCTAAGAACAAGTAAATGGCACCATAAGCAGCCCTGAGTCTCAGCTCACCGAGCACCGCATGTTGCTGAGGAGGTCAATCATGATGACTGCTGAAACACTGCTCTCCAAAAGATGAAAAGACTCTCAATGAAAGGAAGAAGACTTCCAAAGCTTCTGGTGATCTTGCTTGTCTCCGCAGTGTTTGGAGGTCAATGATGAATAAACAAGGATTTCTTGGCAAAAGAAGTTCGTCCTCAAGAAACGACCTGTTGATGGAGTTGGGCAGTCTTGGTGCGACACCGTATCGCGCGGAGCGCGCAGCCTCGCAGCTTCTCCACCGCCGCGGTGGCCGCCAGCCGATCCATGGCGAGCAACCCAACCGGAGCGACGGGTGAACCAGGGCCCAAGAACAGATAGCTTGCGATGGTGTTCAGGACTTTTCCTCCCAGAAAACGAATCGGTCTTTGTGTCAACCAACAAGCCAACTGGCCAAAACCAAATCCAACTCACTGAGACCGAAGGGGTAGGGGTGAGTCGGGGTGAGTTGAGTCAGCCGGTGGAGCAGTAGGGATCCCAAGTCCATGGCCGGAGAAGCTACTTTTGTGAACGAAGAGCCCCACTTCTGGAGCCAACATGAGCCAACTGAGCCAACCTATCTTTTAGGAGTTCATGTTTGAAGGTAACCCGGTAAGCCCGGTAAGCGCAAATAAGCAAGGCTCAAACACCACTAAGCATAGGTCAGTATAGTGGGGTAAGCAGGCTTGTCCAAAAAGGTTTGCAAAAGGCTTGCCACCAAGAGAGACACGCTACGTGGTTAGATCAGAGACACACTCAGCAACTTGAGAGGATTGCCCGGATGTTCTCTCTGCACCGGCGCCGGCGCTGACGCTTGTTCACGCCAGTGCCAAGGCTCTGTGCTGCACTTGGGAAGAAATGGCCACGAGGATTCTCAAGACGAAGCACAGCCAGAAAACATCTTTTTTGCCCGGAGGGGGTGGGCCGAGTAGAAGAGGTAGTAGCTACAGAGGTAGCTAGTAGTAGCTAGGTAGCTTGTAGCTAACAAGTAAGCTACTCCTAGAGGTAGCTACTCCTCTTGCACGCAGGATAGCTCACGCTTCTTCCAGGAAGCTCTGCGGGAAGCTTCCTTGAAGAAGCGCTTGCACCACTCATTTGGGAAACCCGTCTGAATCCACGGGTCGCTTCCACATTGCGTCTGTTTCTTGGCCATGTCTAGGATTTAGCTGTGTGTTCAGGCTGCAAATCCAGTGGCCGGGTTGTTGGAGTCGCTTCAGGATCCCCGACTTCACCGCTGCTGAAGTAAATAAGCAAGGCCTCGCCAAGTTATCTACAGCTTTTACAGTCCATGAAAGACACTATAAAGTCAGCCCCAGACCTCGGAGTTTGACCATTTCGCATCAACAAGGGCACATCATAGTATGAGGCCTAAAGACAGCCTGAAAGAACTGCTAAACAGTTAACCCCTTGGGATGTTCTTGTATGTGTTTGTTGTTTGTCCTCTTCACAATGGGGAGGACAGGTCAGGTGTTTCGGTGTTTCCCTCCCCACCTGAGTCAGCTGCCTCATCCATGGCCCACGCGTTGAGATCCCTTGAAGGTCACTTTTAGGACCTTGACTACCCGAAAAGCTACTACCAGGAAGAAAGCTTTCTTCAAGCCCGTCATAATTTGGCTCTTGGACTTTTTTGTTCGGTTGCTACCAATCCATCTTGTCGGGACCAAGGCTAAAGCATGCTAAAGCTAAATGTGTCTTCCCAGTTCAAAGGCGGCCAGCGAGCATCGTCAATTGACCGAGAAAATTTCTTGGCAAACGACTTGCATCTGCTGTGAATGCTGTGCGCAAGAGCTCGGGAAAGTAGATGCAAAGTCAACCAAAGCATTCGTGTGTGTGTGTGTGCTTGCTGCCAGGGCGAAAGCAAAGGTTCTTGAGGTCTGACCAGCTTTAAAAAACGGCTAAACACCAGCGGAGCAAAAGTACACCGTCACACGATCCGCATGGGTAGGACGGCAGGACCTCTGGATCAGCCTGCTCCAGCTTCTCTAGGACCAAAGAGGTCATCTTGTTCACCTGAAGAAGTTAGCTGAGTGAGCCGTTAGAGTTTGAAACTGCAGGACAACATTGCAGCTCCCGTTTCCAGTCTCTCCCTATCTCGCATCATTTTCTCTGCCTATCATGGGGCACAACTTCTGTTGGGACGTCCCATTTCATTCCGCTGCGAGGGCTCCTCCATTTCTCCGATCGCATCTGAGCAGCCCGGGCGGTGGGATTCCAAAACAGCTCGCCGTCTCTCAACAGCATCGGCATCAGGTTCGGTATCTGCCAGCGAGCGACATCGCAGGCACGGGACATGCGACCGGCGACCGGCGGAAACGCTGCGGGAGCGCGCCAGCTGATCTGCGAAGTGGCTGAGCAGCTCGGCGACTCGCTCGTCCTCGAGAGCGCTGCGAGTCGGTCCGTGTAGCGGAGACACGTTGTTTTTGTGTCATTCGCAAGATCCTTCAGTCGGGTATGGACACAAAAGCCAGGAGTCCGCAAAAACATTGAACTCCTGCTCCCGAACAGCTCTTGTAGAGGTTTCCAGAGGTCTTCACAAGTGCCCTCGTAGCCCGCAGATTCCAAAAGATCGAATGGGTGGCCTTACTGACTCCAGTCTGCAGGGACTTGTTGGTGTTTTGCTGAAAAGGAACTTGTTGGTCTGACGGCACAAGCCCAAGGACCAATGTTTGGCACGGAACCACAATGAACCAGGTAGATTTAAACCTCGGGTACGGTTTACTCTTGTTGCGAACAGTCACCAAAAAATGAAGGGCCCATGTACTTCAACATCCTTCCACCAGGTCTTCTCCGTCCTTCCAGAGCTGCAGCACCGACTGTAAGGTCTGGGCATTCTGGGAGGTGAAGAGACGGACCATGTGCCTTTGATGTGCATTCTGGGCCATTCGGCACATGAGAATTTCCAGACCTACAGTTGATGCCGGGGTGTCCAAGAGGGTACCAAGTCAGGCAAAATGCAGGTTACATGCACGCAATGCTTGAGTTCTACTCAATTCCTCAGGTCATGTTGAAGCATGGCCCGATCTTTGAGTAACCCAAATGGTCCCGAAGGCTCAGGCTCGTGATGATGAACTAAAACGATTCAAGAGTGGATGCCAATCAGCATAGGTTCAGTGTCCACAAAACGATCCTTGTGTCCTGTTTCAAACAAGTCAGTTCCCTTTTGCTCCACTCTAGGCATTTCATTCTGAGACCCCTGGCCGCACAAGCGAAGGCCTCATTTGCCGGTGGCAAGATTGATGAGGATTCAACAAAGAAGTAGACGTGGGATTGTCCAACTGCGGCCCTGAAGCACGCCTGGTTAAAGGGAGGCTATGTCGAGAAACTTCCATGTTACGAACAACTAGAATATAGAAAGGAGGCACCAGATAGTAACAGTAGCAGCATAAGGCGCAGTAAGCAGCACAGCAACACTACCGTAAGCAACAGTAATGTAGACACCACGGTGCCAGCACTGTAAGAAATAGCAACGCAAGTAAGAGTCGCGCAGGAACAGTAATGCAAGTGACAGTAAGAATAGCACAGGAACAGATTGCTCACACTGGAGCTTCTAGTTTTCAAGATTTGAGGAGTCTCGCACAAAATGCATGTTTGAAAGTTAACCGGTGCACAAAAAGGTGTCCATTTTGTCTATTGTGTGTTTCCAAAGGCGGATCAGAACTGGCAACGAGGAGAGGCAGCGACTCAGAAATGGCCACCTTGTTGTACACAGGTAATACGCGCAGCTGAGAAGTGGCCACTTTGTGGTACAGGTGTAGTACCTGCAGTAGCTTCTGGGAACTAGCGGTGAGGACTGGCAAGTTTGTAGCGGAGCAGCTTCTAAACTGGGCACTTTTGTAATCCAAAGTAGCTTCTGGGAGCTGCGGGCTCAGCAGTGGCAACTTTGTAGAGCAAGTGTCTTCATTGCCTCGTGGCATACGGTGTGGCAAAATCAGTGGGTGACCTCGCTGTGCCATGAGGTTTGGCCAGGTCTGGACTCGATGGTGGTTGTGCGTTGGGCTTTGGCTGTGTAAATGCGGCATGTCCCTGGTGGTATCAATCACGCTTGGTGTTACGCGGACAGCTGTTGGTTGCACAGGGCGCTTGTTGGTCTTTTGGTCGCGTCAGGTGTTTTATGAACATATGAATCTTTTGAACCTCCGACCCCGGCTTGGTTGGGGTTCTACTCGCAAAAAGAAAAGGAACTTTCAAATGAGTTCGAATTCTGGGTCAAGTCAAACCTTGGACGAAAGCTCGTTCTGGAAGAAATTCTCATGGACTCGTCCACTCGTTCTTGGCTCCCCTGCATGCAACCCTTGAGGTCTTCCGGCTGCATGACCTGCTCATCTTCAGGGCTCGTAGAATTCTTAGGTACCCAATGTGACAGGCTTGCGACTGATCCCTTTTTGGAAACAGCCGACTTCGACTCAGGGTGACGCCTAGAGCGAGAAATCTCTCTCCAGCTCTGAATTCCTCGGCACCCCTGACCAAGACCAAGCAACCGAGCTCTCCTGACACTCCTGACCTTCATGATTTCAGCCAGCTCGTGAATCACCAGGACCTCTTTGGGAGTATTCGACCTCGCGACGTCGTGGTCAAACTATTTCAAACTTCCGCACGGTTCTTGACTTTAACCGCGGACCGGGGACCCCAGTTGTTCACGAGGTTTCTTCGGTCTCGGGACCAGCTCTGGAGCTGGGCCTGCACTCGGGCCCCAGTCTAGCCTGCAGGCCAATCAGACCAAGGGGCTCGTGAGACTGTGGAAGATAGCCACAAAGAGCCTCTGTCGCAACCCGAAAGTCAGGATATAGGACATTCATGCGTCCTGGGGATGTTTGAAGCGTTTTGGAAAGAAGACCCTGGTCGCCCTGCTTCACTACAAAAGAAGCTAAATGCAAACTTCCAAGCCAACCACGAACCTACTGGAGCTCAAATGCATTCGGTGGCCAATGGTACCTCCAATAACGTACTCTGCCAACGCTTCGTCACTTGTCCCTCGTAACCCAGCTCATGCGTGAGTGGTGTCAGAGTCACTCATGCGGCAAGCCTCCACCGACCTGCCACTGAGCCTGGGTTCCTTCTCTAAAACCAACAGCCTCAGCACAGCAATGGAATGGCAGTTGACTGGCGAAAGGAATCTGGAGATGCGCTTTTGCCCTGCTGAGACTGGGTTCAGCTTCGTTTCAAGTTACCCAAATACGGCAAATACGGCCCTAACTCCATGTCTGGGCTAGGCTCCACACATGCAGTGCACCAGCTCCTCAGGCCAAAGATTGAGCACGGCTCTTGAAGGTATGGAATCCTTAAGTGGTCATATCGTATGGCTGCCTCTCAACCTGAGACCTCCAAACACCATTAGTCTCGTTTGAGATATTTGAGGTGAAAGCCATCTCAAAGATCCCTCAGGCCATCGCTTCTAGGTTGGAGGCCATCGCTATTACGTTGGAGGCCATTGCTTATAGGTTCTTTCTTTGTTTGTTTTTTGTGTTTGTAGTGATACCTAACAAGCGCTGACCCTCCACCGTCCTTGTGATACATGGAGATCAGGGGCGTTTGCCTGTCCCAGAGAAGCCAATCGTTGGGCTTGTGCCTGGCCATCTCACTTTTCCATCGTTGGCATCGCAGGAGTAGAGACACCAATCGGTCTGAGCTCCCAGCAGTGGTAAGAGGGTGTCGGTGAGGAGTCGTCTTTGTGCCTCAAAGAAAGATGTAGAAAGTGTCGAAACAGTTACAAATAGGACACCCGGATAGGACCTCAACTTGTCGCGGCAAGCCAAGCCTCCCCCAAGGGCGTCTGGAAGCCTCTAATGATTGGCCCCAAGACCTGCCAGGTTGCCAAAAGCGAAGGACTGGGGATTGGAATCATCGGATTTTAAGGAGGGACCATCAGAAAGCTGCCCTGTGGACGTGGAGTCCGAACGTGACCTGAACGATCTGTATAGTCGGAAATCCTGGGAGAAACAGGAGCAAGAAGAAATCAAGTTCATTCAAATGTGTCGATGCTTCCTCTGAACTGTACAGATCCTAAGCACTTGCCTCTTAAGCACCCAAGCATCTTCAAGGTGTCCCTTCCTTCCCACCTGCAGTAGTGGTGCCAAGGGCGCTGACTTGTGCACAAAGCGGCCAGCAGACTTTAGGGGCCTGGCATGAAAGCAATTGGAGGCACGAGATGATGGGTGATTGGAACACTGTTTGACTGACTGCACCCAAAGACTGACCGCTTCTACGCTGCACGTGCAACACGAGGATTCGCTTCTACGCACCATGGTGAACTCAGGGCGGTCAACGTGGTGCTGTTTTGGAAGCCGCTTAGGCACCGAGCGATCAATGCGTGAAACAAATCGCATCTGGTCGGGGGTGAATCTGAACAGACTTCCACACAACTCTGGTCTTGACTCATTTCACGCATTTGTCAACTGTATTGTATATATTTGACTTCATTGTATATAATTGGTACAGCTGCTGAATCCGCTAAGAGCATGGCTCCATCTCCGTAGTGCTAGGAACTAAGGGGCTTGGCGCTTTGAAGGGAAAAATGGTTTCTATATATAATCACATTGTTTCTTCCCTCCCCCATGCCGCTCCCTCTGCCTGCCAATGACACCTCGAAGCTGAGCTCTGCGGGTGGGGAACTTCTCATAGAGCCACAACAGGATGTCGCGTAGGAACGGCCACTCAGCCTGGGTGAGACACGGCATCCCATGAATCGCGGGGGTCGACTTCGCCTGTTTTCTCTCACTCTGGTGACTTCAAGATCCTGGAAGATGCTCCAACTTGACAATCGCTGATTGAGAACATCAAATCCATAATTGACAAACACTTGGCTGCAAAGAATTCCATCAATTCCAAGAAGAACTCCGCACCTGCTGGGCACTGCCATCCAGCCGACCAGAAAGGCTCCATAAGAGTTCACCCAACTGCCAGATTCTGCTTGTTGATCGGTCCATGTTCCGCTTGGCTAAGCAATCATGTAAAGTACTTGGTCCATTCCAAAACTGAAGTTGGAGAGCATTTGAAATGCTGCTTTAAGACAAGATCACACATTCACAGAGCTTGGGGAAGAAAATCACAGATGCGCCTGCTCCTCAGCTTCGGCGATGTCAAATTCCGGAGCACGGACCATGGCCCTGGATCGAGCTGAGTGTCGAGTTCCGAGTTTCGGCTGCGCAAACGAACCGAAAACCGTGTGTGTTAAGCGTTTTGAAAACCCAAGAAAAGAACTCCTGGACAGGGACGAATACCTTTGAGTATTGAAAGTTGTCTTGGAAGAATTGGCAGACATGAAGATACGGCAACAGAAGTAGATGGACGAGAGGCAGAAGAAACACACAGAGAAGTAGACAGAGAAGCAGGCAGAAACAGACAGAGCAGACCTGAGAAGGCTTGTGCGAAAGCCAACACATTACAGACATGTATGCATTCCAACTGGAATATGCCGCATGCAAACGCCAAAGAGAAAAATCGCGCATAGAGATTCACAGGCTGAAACTTGGATGGAGCCGCATAGACTTATAGACCTCCATCTGCTCACTGGGAAAGGGATACTTTGCGTGCAAACGCCAAACAGAGCATGCCAGACATCATGATCACACAATTCCACCAAATGCCTACATCCATTCACCCCTCCCACCGTCTATCCATCCATCCATACATCCTTCCATCCGCTTATCCGTTCATTTGCTCCTTCGTCATAAAATGTCAAACTTTTCACCAACATCCAGCATCACCAACATCACTCGATCAACAACGATGATTTGCATCAGCATCATCAACTCTCCACAAACACCCAAAAACAAACAATTTGGCCACCGTTTGACCCATGTAGCTCCACCAACTTTTCCTGTCTTGTATCTCCCCCCATGCCCTTCATCCCTCACTTCCTTCGCAAATATCAAACTTCAGCCTAGACGACTGCCGGATGGCTCGGAAAAAATAGGAACAAGATAGAAATCACCGATTGAGTGCGGTGGTATATTCAGCTGTTGAAATTCTTGTCTCTCTTTCCAAATGAACCAAGCTTGCATTAGGGTGCAGTACTTCTGAGCCATCTTGAGCTGAGCTGGCCGATTCTCTTCGGCTAAGGTGGACACCAAAAGATCTGCTGGACCTTCACTACGAATGGCTGAGACCTCAGGATGACATGACAATGTGCAAATGACCGGCTGGTCCGTCTGAGCACCTGGAAGTTTGGCGTGTTGTTGAGGTGGCATGTACTAACAATGGCATTGAACTGTTTGAAGCCCTGTGACAATGATGGACGGCCCACGAGAAAGGACGATGAAAGGACAGATCCGACCCGCGAGACCGACCTCGACGCATGGTGGCGATATAAGACTGATCCGTGATTAGCATGTCCGCTGCCCTTCAAGCCATCAAGCAGTCAATAGCACTTTCTGAAAGCTTGGTGAATAAACACGTTTCTTCATCAGTGCAAGTTGTCAAGGGTCAAGCTCGGCAGTCCGCCAAGAGCATGCCAGAGACAAGAGCTGAAAAAGGCCCCTGCAAAGTCCACAGAAGCCCGTGCCGCGTTGATTTTCCAACATGTATGTTGTGTGTGTGTGTGTTTAGCAAGTTTCCGTGGTGATTTAGCTGTCTGACATATAACGAGGCCAGCTTCACGAGTAGACTTCGGCATTGAATTCAAAGTCTCTGAACCTCAAAAGAAGGGGTGGGCAAAAACGCAGATTGAGGCGGGGTTGGCAAGCCGATAAAGCGCACTGGACCAACAATTAATACAAGACAACCTGGCAGGAGCCACAATTGTAGAGTGTATGAAAGTACTAAGATTAAATCATCTAAATGATTACAGTATATATGATTTCAGCAGGTGGTGTTCATGCTGATCTGAGTGGGCGGCTCACCGCTCTGGACCAGCGCGAGCAACGCCTTCGGTCCGTATCGAAGCGGTTTGGGGGAGTTTCTTCGTTGAACGCCTTGGGTGACCATCTTCCGAGATTCTCAAAGCACTACGAAGGTTTTGCCGTTCGGCACTGCTTTCAGTCCTCTGGCATCTCTGGTCAGAGGTGGCTGCTTCTGTTGAAGCTCCCTGGGCGCTAAATACCAGTGAAATGCGCGAAAATCGGCCATTCTGGCTATCAAGCACAGCCAGGATAGGAAGCAAAATGCACGCCAAAAGAAGAGGGATGCTCTGTAATGGGACCCCCTTGTTGGCGAGTCCAGGCCAGATCGACCAGCTCAAAGAGCTCATCACGGTTGGGCTGTCCTTCCAAAAACACACACCTTCTACTTCAATGATCTCCCAAATCTCAGCTCCGAAGCACGGCCCAACTGCGAGAGGTGAAAAGCACCGCCCCATATTGGGACCGAGCCATATCCATTCTTAGATGTCTAGCGCATTAGCCAAAAAAGGTTGGGTACCCATCCAAGCCTCAGCAGCAGAGACAGGCCAGACAGGCGGAGGAAGCTTATGAAAAGGAAGCACAACGTTCTCTGTGATGGCCAAACTCTTGAGCTTTATCATATCGATTATAGCGTAGGGGAGCCCCCTATTCCACAAAGCATGTTTAGGTCCTCAATTCCTCAACTTGGACACTCTCTCAAGATATGCTGGTCTTCATCAGCTGACCACCAGAAGCTTCTGGGGCACAGGCACTGAGTTATTGGCCCTGGGGCACTCTCACGATTGCTTTCTCGTCGAAGCCTTTCCATCAGTAGGAAGACTGAAGCACTGAACCATAACAACCAAACGTGGCTTGCCAATTTGATGTTGGCAAGAACCCCATGGCCGCAGACTTCTACAGAAAGTTGGTGCAACCTGGAATCAACAAGCCTGGAGCTAGCAAACGCACAAACGCAACAAAACAAGTGTTTCAATTCACGGTACTGCGTACGGTATCTTCTTAAATCCCCCAGGCCCTGCGAGCTTCCCTACATGAAGACAGCAAACTCCTCCACTCCAGAAGAATTGGAAAGAAAACAAACAACAAAACTGGTTTGCCACCGAGCTGCCTAATCTTCGGCTCTTGCTGATCAATGCTTCAAGGGTTTTCTCTTCGATTGTAGGGGTGCGTGCCATGATCCAGAGATATCTGCGGTCCGGCACACCAATGATGCAGGTCGAGTAGTCCTGAAAGAGCAGAGTGGAGTGCTCAAAAGGCAGAAGGGCTCGAGTGTCTCAATGGTGCAAGCAGAAACTGAGTCCAGCTAGCTGATTCTCAAATGTAGCTTTGATTTACAAGAAACTGGAAGACTTCATTCAAGGCTTAATTTCAGAGATACTCTCCATCTAGTCTAGTCAACAGGATGTGCGACCCTTGCCTCTGCGCAATCCACGATCAAGTAGGAGAGCCGCAAGGGAATGAATACACCTCCAAACACCATCTTGCTGCTCGGCTGGGAAACTGTCAATCCAAACTCCAACAAGATCGTCCAGGCATCTATCACAAGCAGTGTAGGGACATTAGACATTATGAATTAAACTCGTCAAGGGAGATCTTCGAACATTCACACCTGGCCAAATCTAGAGCACTATGTGCTCGTACGTCGAGAGTGGAATTGTACACCCAAGACCTTCAACTCCAAGAATGGGCGCCCACTGTCCGCACCTATCTTTGGTGAGATCGCCCACTGTGTACAAGCGTCATTGACCACCTGGCACACTTCGGTGAGGCGACATGGAGATGCAACTTCATCTCAGATAACTAAACACTGGTCGGAAAAAAATAGGGCTCCAAGACTCCAAGGAATGCAGAATGAATTGGGTCAAACTCTCAGACTGCAATCATCATAGTTTGGTTTAAGATTGCAATCATCATTTTGCATCTTGAAACTCTCACCAAACGATCGTCAGCGATAAAACCTCAGACTCCTTTTTCGAAAAAGAGCCCCCTTCTGGCCAAGAGAGACGTGTAGTAAACCACAGGTAGCAGTGGTAAGCCCAGGGTAGCAGCGGTAGCACAAGGTCCCCTGTCACGAAAGGTGGAATTCCTCTTGCCCAACACCAAAGGCCTCAGCCCGCTGCTGCAAGAGCTTGCTAGAGGAACCCTGAGCATGTTTGCGGTGGAATCCACGAGAAAGGGAAAAACACACACGAAAAAAAGGAGTTGATGTTTCAATTATTCTTACTTACAGTCTTTTCTTATGTAACGGTTGTCAGTTCAATAAGAACAAGTTGACCAGTTCTGGACTTCCCGCCCACGTCCTGTTGATAGGTGAAGTCGACCAGGACGTTCTTTCCTGAAAAACTTCACACGGCGGAAGATGTCTCGGCTGGCTCAACAAGGTGAGGCCCCAGTTCGGGGCACCACCGGGGCCTAGTAAAGCATGTTCAACCCATCAACATCCATCAACTAGCCCAGTTTACCCAACCATCTTGGGATACAAAACCACCGCCTGTGCCCTACGAAGAAGATCCAACCATGCGCCCCCAGCATCAGCGTCAGCATCCCCGAATGTCCGCTTCTTCCAACCGGCCAAACCGTCCCCAGAGATGTACCGGTTGAAAGAAACCGGTTGCTCGGGTCCCCTCCGGCCAGTTCCGGCCGGTTCCGCGCTTCGTCCTGTCTCGTCCAAGCTGTAGGTCTCGATATTGTTGCTCGTCCCCTGGTCGAAGAAGGTAGGGATGTTGGCGATCACCTCGAGGACGAACCAGAGGGACCGAACGAAGGAACGAACGAAAGAGGACCAGGGAGGCAAAACGGCGGAAACAAACGAAAGCGTAAAAAAAATCAGCATGCGGAAGGACCAGATGCGTTTGTTTGGCTGTTTCGTGACAGTAGACCCGCCGAAGCACAGTCATGCAGTCATGCATCTTCGTGCCAAGCCACGTACCAAACACCCATGAATTTGGGCAGTTCCTCACACAGTGTGGTGCAACTGACTTCTGGGTGTAGAAGATCGGTGGACGGTCTGGAATTGTGGAACAAGGAATGCTTCGTAGGCCTCTGGTCTTGATCTACTCAGTGTGAAGAATCTCTTGACCTTGAGGGCACTTGGGTCATCACAGCTACCATTGGGTCCCAAAAGGCTCCAGCACCTACACAGAGGCTACTTCTGAGAAAGCCTACGTCCAACACAAGCCTCCAAGGTCAGCCGCCAATCGAAGGCTGCGAAGTGGTCCTTTTCACCGTTTGGCGAAATAACCGCAGGATCTTCCTGCAGTTATGAGGACTGTAGATATGCCCGAGCGCTCTGGGGTCTCTTCCGTGTCTGCGCGGCCATCGGTGCGTGTGGCTGCTGCTTGAAGATGGAGATGCCACGGATGCCCACCACCGGCTGCTTGGGGTTTGGGAAGTCTGCACGCACCCGAGGCACAGTGAAGACCATTTGCTGCTTCTCCTTGGCCTAGAAGCGGCCCAAAAGGATGTCTTTTTGGAACAAGATCGGTCCAAACCGGAGCATTTCTTCGAGGAAAACATCGTTAAGAGATGTGAAGAGTTAAGAGTCGCATTATATGTTTTATGGTCTGACCTGGGCGATGACCCCCACAAGCTAAGCTCTTGCAAGAGAAGCCTTGTTTGCATATAGAAGTCTTGGCTCTCTTTTCTTTTCTATCGAAGTGGTATGGTCTTGTCCAATGATGTCCAAAACCACCCTCTCCCCCGAATGAGATGCTACTTGAAGCTTGCCTTCTCTTCTCGTTTGTGCTCCAGTCGAGCACGAGCAGATTGTGGCCTGGCACGGCGAGTGGTAGCAGAAGGCGGTGTAGCCTCAAACTGCTCATTCACCACCTTCGAAATGCTGACACCTTCTCTGCCAACCGGTGAGGCAGATCTCTGCCGGGCGACCAGCGCGGTGGAATCCTCTTCTTTGCAACAAAGGCACCGCACCGAAGTGGCAAACTGCGATCCCAGGACTCTTCGGGCGTTGGCATTCAACTCCTCCATGCGCCGCTGCAGATCATCAAAGACCTCAACCTTGTCATCCAAAATGCGCCCGAGCCGCTGGATCTTGTTCACATCGTCTTCACAGCGGTTCTGTCGAGTAGTCAAGGCATCCATGGCATTCTGGAAATCTTTCACTTCCGCAGGCAGAGGGAGAAATTCTTCCAGCAACGGACGGGCCCAACAAGTAAAATGCACGTGTTCGCTCTTGACATGTTGCAGCTGGGCCGAGATGCTCAGCATCTCCAAACGTGTCGTATCGTTCTCACCATCGTGAAGTGTCTTCATTTCAGCTTCAATGCGGGCAACCTCAGAGCATAGAGTCTCCTGCATCTCACGGAACGTCTCAGAGTTCTTCTCCTCTCGCCTCTCCAAATCAACTAACTGCTGTCGCAGAGGTGCCAAGTCCTCTGCAAGGCCGTGTTTCTCAACCACACGATTCACGAACTTGATTTCATTGCTGTGGCGGATGGTTCTTTGCTCCACCACACGCAGCTTGGCGTTGGAGACCTCCAGGGCCTGCTTTTGGGCCGTGAGTTGTCTCGCCGCCACTTCGAGATGATGTTCCAAGGTGCTACGCACCTCTCCAATTTGCTGGGCGAGAGACTCCTCCACTTGCCGGACGACCATGGTGAGTTCGCTGGGAGGAGAACTCGGAACCTCTGCGGGGAGAACTGGGTACCCGTCATTGGACTTTGACATGGGGCAACGAGTTCGGACACCAAATTGGGTCCACCTATCTGCAGACGTGTCCTGAAGAGCCACGAGAAAACGGCCTCGGACAAAACCCATACTTCAAGACTGACTTCAAACGGATTTCTTCGAGTCAAAACGCTTGCGGATCGAAATGGTTCGCCCTAGTGCTCACCCATTCGCAGAAGTGGCCCACTCGCGAGACCACTCGCGAGACCACTGGTTCACGAGCTTGGCCAAGTTTCGATGGAACGCTCCATCGCTGTGAGTGGGGCAGAGGCCACCCTCGTTGCACTGTCCCGGCGGCCGTTTGCCCAGTCCTACCGATTCAGGAACGTTGGCTGTAGTACAAGCCCACAATCCCCAGAGCAAAAAACAATGTTCACCTGTAGTAGAAGACTAAAAACCACTTCGATCTGCAAAGAAGGAATGGAATTCAGCAGCTTAACTCAAATCTGGTGCCTTCTTCAGTTGCTAACGGCTGAGAACACTGACTCCAGCTTGCAAGTTCCAGAACCGCAATTTATATAGGAAATGTTAAGTTCCGACATAACGACAGGGCTGAGCATGGGGACTAGCCCACTCAATGCACAGCAGCAAGCACGCAACCAGCACATCTTAAGCACAAGTCAAACACCTGGTCTCTACAGTCTCCAAAAGACTTGCAAGCTCCTGCATGTAGATGGAGGATGGCTAGCCGCTAATGTCACACGTACCGCACATGAAGCAACCACGCTACCTCTATGCAGAGACCTACAGCTACGCAACACAAGACCTTGTGCACGCTCGTGCTTGCTTGCAGGCTGCTTTTCGCCACTCTTAGGCCTAGGATCCACCTCGAGACTTCTACCTTCTACTTGGTCTCTGCCTCCACGTCCCCAGTATCCCACTACGCACGTGCACCAAAGTAGTTTTGGTACCGAAGTCCACTGGTCCCTGTGTCTTGCATCTGTATGGAGGGGCACGAGGTGCTGTTGGGAGCGCTCCAAATGAATAGATTCTTTTTGCAACAGGCCTTTCCACATGTAAGTGTGGTGCTTGACATGTGCCAAGCAAAAGCCTCCGACCGCCCAGGGGACCTCCAGAAGGCGCATCATGTCCGCGACCTCGCCGGGAGAATTCTTCGTCACGCTGCCCTCAGTGAAGAAGGCGCCTGCGGAGGGCGTCAACTCTGTGAGTTGTTCAGAACAGTAGTGCTGTTCAGATCGGCAAATCTGTATATAGTACTATCCGTACATATTACAAACCCTGACAAACGATACCTACTGTAAGGCAATGGTTGCACCTACTCCACGCTATTTGCGCTCGCGTGCACTCTGCTTCGTACTTGGCCTCCCATGTGTTTCACCTGGGGCTCGCGGTCCAAGTAGAAAGCACCCGACTGCAACTTGGCCGCATCTGCTACCAACAGCCTGAAATGAAAAACCCCGAGACTCGGAGTGTTTTTCACAGTGACGCCTTTTTCGAGGGTCTCGGGGGACATGGATACTGTTTCTATTTTCAAGAATTCAAGGTGTGCCTGCGATGCACAAGTTATGACCTACCACAGTGGGTTTTTTTGCTTCACATGCTTCATACGGCTTAGACTCGTTGAAATTTGCTGCTTTGGCTTTAGATAGACAATGGAAAATATCAAGCTTATGATCCGTTTTTGCGAATTTTTCCTTAATCCAAAACAGGGCTTCAGTCAACCACACTGTACAAACAGCAATGCTAGTGATGCAACATATTTGTGTTGTAGTCTACCCTGAAAATGTTTCACACTCCTTCTTGGCAGTTTGAGCGATCGAATTGCTTTTTTGAGTTCACTCTACCACCATACCTCACTTTATTTTCATCATCCTCACGTTGCACTGTCCACTCTCTCAAGAACGGGGTTCCTGGAGCTTTCTGACGCCACTCGATCTGAGTGATCTCTTCTCTCTTCTGCAGTTTCAAGTAACTGTTCATTCGTTCTTTTTCTCTGTCTCTCTCTCTCTCTCTCTCTACTGGATAGACCTTCTCGTCCTCTTCCTAGCAATAGTTCAAGTCTTCTGTCCGGTTGAGCAATTTCAACTCAAGTCTACCACACATTTGTATTGCCTGTTCTCTCACATATTCTGCCCTCATAGATAGTTCTCAATTCCTGGCCTGAAGGCTTGCGCTGCCAGGGCTCGATGAGAGCAAGTCCAAGCCCTGCTTCTTCAGTTCTGCAAAGGCCGCTTTCTTCTGTGTGAGAAAGCTCGTCAAGGTCTGTCCACGTTCTCGTCGACCCTTGAAGACCGCGTCGTCGAACGCGGATTCCAGCCTCAGGTCCCGCAGGTATTCATGGGGCCCTCGATGATGCTGATGATGGTCTTGTGGCCATTCTCTGCCGTGATCTCATGGGTCTCCACCGTCAGGGTGGGCCACCGAAGCTGAAAGCTTCGAAACAAGCGGGACGCTGTCTATGATCCGCTTGCCGATGAGGTTGTGCGCCAAGCGTGCTTCAGCTTCAACCAACCACAGCTTCATGTTTCTGATGTACTCCTTGCAGTTCTTCTCAGGGAGGTCTCCTCCCCACGAAGGTGCTGGATCCACCTTGTAGTCAACATACTTTCCGTCTCGTGTACCGGAAATCAATCCGGCAGGCGTCGGAGGCATAAGCACAGCGGCTGCCGCCGCCGCTGCCCAAGGATCTTCAGGTACACGCCCTTCTTCATCATCACCGGCGTCATGAACGGGAGAAAGTCGTTGGAGTTCAGGTCGTTGTGGCCTTGCGGTGACCTCATTGAGGCTGCCGAGGGAGCCGGTGATGAAGTGGTGGCTCCAACGCCACCTCGCCAAAATCGATGTAGCGTTCAGGATGTAGTCAACCTGGTAGCCGAGGGTCCAAGAAGGACGGATGAAGCCGCCGCAAGCCAATGGTCCTTCTGAAGGTATTGCTCCCTGTATGGCTGCTTCTAACATCACTCTATGATCCTCATATTGTCCTTCGGTTGCTCTCATGTCTTCCAAGCTCCTTCTGGCTAAGAAGTTTCCTCTGTTGATTTCTCCCATAGTGTCATAACTGATTGGAGTTTGAGCGTTTGGTGTCTCTTTCTCTACAGAGCCTCCATCGAAAATCAATCCACTGTGAATTCTCCTGGCATAATCTCTGAGTAGATCTATCTGATGTCCATGATCTTCACACTCTCTGATCATACTCTCAAGCTCCACCATTTTGGATTCTGCTTCATCTGTCCTGAAACGAATGTCTGTCATCGCACGTTCATAGAGGTCCTCAATATGCCAAGATAGCTTCCATACTGCAAATGCTACTGCATCAAAACCAATAATATTGATAACGATGATCACTGTGATCCCAAATTTTCAGTTCTCCTTGGATTCCTCTCTCTCATGAATGCTTCTGTAACCATTGGCTGCAAGCCCTCAAACGCTACCATTCTCACAAGCATCTTGGCAATCTTGCAGACCTTTACTGCAAAGTTCTTTTTCTCTTCACACACCTTTTTCTCACGCTCTCCTACTCTAGTTTGTTCTTCCCAGTGCCCCACTGAAGGTTCATCAAGCATCTGAAGCTTTGTCCTCCACGTGGCTTGTTATTGATTTCTGCCATGTTGCTATCTGCTGAGCCAGAAGAAGAGGCAGTGCATGGACCTGAATGCTTATGGCGTGATGGAGAACATGAACCAGAAGAAGATCCAGAAGAATGGGTAGACAGAGCAGCTGATGAAGCGGAAGAGAAAAGACTCCAGAAGATGCAAGCGCTGGAGATACCAGAAGGTAGCGCACCCAACTGGCATGTCTCGCTGCCCAAGTCCAAGCGCATGATCTGATCTGTATTCTCTGACAGAAATGAATGATCTCCAAGCTTTGAGGTTGTCAACCTGGTAGTGAGTCCTAGGCTGTGGTGAGCATTGAGAATCTTTATGGTTTGTCTTGTTGTGGGTTCATTTTCGAATGCCCCAACAATTGATTGAAATTCATCAACTCTTGCACAATAAGGCGAAACTGGTTCTTAGTTCCTAATGACACAACATGAGTGAATCCAGTCTGGCTGTCAATTGCAACTAACCTACGTACTGCTCTCGCTGACATTGTCTCTGAATCTTGTGTAGCAAAAGCCAAAGCTTACCTCGGGTACGCTTCCTCTCTTTACTCCATCTCTTCTCAAATGGCGATCTGGACGCGCTCACCAATTAATTGGCATATGGCATGTACATCAATCCGCGCCTTGCCTGAGTGGCTTCATCTGGCGTTTTGCCACACTTTGACCTAATGCCTCTCTTGTCTCTTGAGCTTTTGCTTTACTCACCAAGCTTTTGGCATTCAACATTTCCATCTTCTTGTTGCGATTGAGGATCTTTGCATAGACCTTTAGCTTAGAGCCACTGCCTGAAATGCCGAGAACTGAACACGCTGCCCTCAAAGCTGCCAAAGAAGAATCCTTAGTCAACTCTACTCCATTCAACAAGACTTTGTCTACATCCGCTGGGCTCAACTGTGATTGGCATTCTAGGTCTTCATCTTTCTTTCCTTCATCTCTTGGACATTCTACCTCCTTCTCCGGTGGAGGACGGGTAATCTCTTCGATTGCCTGCTCCGCTTCTTTCTTTCTCTGTTCTCTGTTCTCAAGCTTCTTGTATCCTGGCGCAAAGAACCCCATATCTTCTGGTGGCGCTGGCTCATAGCTGAAGATTGCGATTGAAGGAATGACTGCATCATCATCAAAGAATTGCTCATCAAGCTCCTCCTTTTTCATCATGCTTTCACAATATTCAGGCGTTAGCCATTTACCTCCCCTTTTCACCAAAGTGGTTCTCATCAACTCTGGTGATTCTTCCACTTCTGGAATGACTGTGGGATCCACGAACCTTGAAATCAAAAAGCGTAAGCTTCCAACTAGCAGTCCATGCTCATCGGACCTCCAACCTGATTCCCTTTCCAAAGCTTCAGGTACTTGCACCTCCAAGCAGCTTTCATCTTCATCTCGAATGTCTAATGCGGCCTTGGACTGTCAAAGAGCGATTTTGCAAGTTGAGTGGTACCTTCAAGTCACCATTCTCCAACATTTAACGCTACATCAGCTCCACTGCCAATCGTCTTCCCCAACTCTCCTCACTATGGGTTCATCATCTGAGACGTCAATTCCCTCAAATTCCTGGGTCTCTGGCTCATCATCATCATCATCATCATCATCTGCAATGTAGAAGTGCATCACTTGAATTCCATGATCTTCTAGCTCATCAATCCTTTCTCGCAAGTCAAAGATGATTGGCTCACAGCTCTCAATTCTCCTGACCACTGGCTCTGCTGGCTAACATGGGCTTGTTGTTGACCAGCTGCATGAGTAGACACTGATGCTCCTCCTGAAGATGAATGGGCTGGATCACTTGCTACCTGTCGAATATTGTTCCTCCAATATTCTTTAGCAAGATGTCCTGACTTTCCACAAGTGTAACACGTTGCCACACCTTTACCTTTCCGGTCTTTTCCTTTACCTTTGCCCTTCTGATCACCTTCTTTTCCTTTCTGATCTCCCTTTCCTTTCTTTCGTTTGCCCTTTGCATCTTTACCTTTACCTTTCTGATGGTCATTCTTACCCTTCTTACCTTTTCCTTTGGCGTCTTGGACTCGATCAATGGCCATTGACACTTGGTCCCTCAAAGTTGAATATTAAACATTGTCGCCAGTTGACAAGTTCAAGTAGGATTTCAGCTGTCAACCTACACATCTCAAAAGAATAGCAAATTTCAACTCTTCCTGAATTGTCGTCCCTGCCTTGACCGTCTCATCAAGTACTTCTTCAAGCTTCAGAAGTTGAGGTTGTAGTGCACTGTTAAATAAAAATGCTGGCCATGTAGTAGCTTCTCCCAAGAGTGCTAATCTTCTAGCCTTTGGGGTATGGGACTTTGTTCAAACTCCTCCAGGCATCAAGTCCGTTGGAGTTTTCCACACCTTTCACCAATTGCAGTGCTCTTCCCCTGATAAAAAAAAGCTAACAACCCACAAGCTTGATGCACCTGGTCTTCTCCCCTGTAGTTGCCAAACTTCTCATTTGCCGCTTCATGAATTTCTTTCAAGTCTCTCATGTGCCCGCATCAACTGCACTCAAATACTTCTCAAGTATCCATGACCACTCTCTAAGTGCCTTTATCTCTTCTTCTTGTGACTTGTAGTCAAAGATGTTGGGCTTTGCTATCAAGTTTGACCAATCAGCTGTTGATGACTTCTTGTCTTCAACTGCTTTCTTCACTGCCTCAGCTGCTGCTGTTGTTGCCAGCGTACTCTGTGCTATAGTTTGAAGGATTTCTCTGATATCCTCCATCTCCGTCTTTCTGACACAACGTACGGGGTACAGAGTGTCGCTCACAACAGTTTATCACCAGTCCAGCTGTTACTGTTTGGGTTCCAAAGGCCCCAAATCTATGGATCGAAATCGCACCCGGGATCGCTTAGGGGCTTTTCTTCCTGGAGCTCAAAGGGGGTTACCCTTATCCTTGCTCCGCTACCATGCGAACGGTTTCCTTAATCCAAAAAAGGGCTTCAGTCAATCACACTGTACAAACAGTAATGCTAGTTATGCAACATATCTGTGTTGTAGTCTACCCTGAAAATGCTTCACAGTTGTCAATCTGCACAAAAATGAAAAGGGTTCTCCAGCAGAATTAAGGGCGACAGTTTCCAAACATACCCTTTTGGAGGCCGTGGCTATTAGGTTCCTCAAAGGGTATGGGTCTGATGATGTCGACAAAAAGGAATGCTTCTTGCCGTCTTGGCGACCAAATGATGCCTTCAGCGCCTTGCCAAAGATTTCGGAGTGGTTCAAGGTATGACTGGCCTCGTTGGACGGGTTAGCTTCTGCTCGGATCTGGTGGCAAGAAGCTTGCGAAGCTTGGGTCATGTTTGGAAACAAGTTTGACAAGGGAACATCAGTTGAAAAAAAACCATATCATACCATGCCCTACTCCCCTCATGCCCGTTTCAACCAGACTAAGCAACACTTTGCAGTCTGCACGTTTGGCGCACAAAACCATCCAAAACCTCTCGGTGGAAAAGGGAAAGAACACTGCAAACCAAGGAGTCGCCACAGACTCAAATTCTCTCCCCACCAGATCCACATGCCCACTGCCCCACATCTGATTCACGCCACTGGATCCGTAGGCGGCATCTACCCCAGGTGTAGAGGTCCACCCTGGGTGGCAGCTCATCACCTTGACCTGAACGTTTTGCGATCAGGAGCTGCACATCGGAAGGCGCTTTGCATGGGAAACGCTTCTGAGACAAGGAGCACGTCACATGGTACATCACTTACTAGTAGCAAGTGCATCGCTACTAGTCGCAAGGATGCTACTAGTAACATAACCTTTCAGTTTTGGGACTTCCACACAAGAGGCACACATCTTGGGTTGTTGGTTACTTCACTTGTGGCCTTGACACACCGTACTTCCGACCCCCTCCCCCACGCGACTGGCCGGGCCTTGGGATAAGACTTGGCCCACTCTTCGCACAGGAGGACTTGGCCACGCTTCGCGTAGGCATACGCAAACCTGAGGGGCTTGGCGTCCCACTACACAACCAAGCTATAGGTGTCATGAGGAAGACAGCAAAGAGAGTGAAAACAACTGTCCATTTGAAATAGACCGTTGATTCAACGCATCTGTTCCGGTCTGAAGACTGCAGTCTCTATGTGCATTCCGCGCGACTGGCCGTCATACTTGCTGCTACCTGACACGTTCACTTGGGCAACTTCTTTCAGGGTGGTTCTCAATTCTAGTAGGTTGGAGGCCATCGCTTCTAGGTTGGAGGCCATGAAGAAGGTTTTGTTGATTCAATTTATACAATGAGTTTGGAGGCAACATGAACACTTTGTCAGGTGGGTCTACAAGGACTCTGGAATCCTGCCGCATTTCACAGATCGGTGGGACGCTTTGGGAACCCGGTGGGAAGTAAGCATCCAATAAAGGCAAGGCCTGTGCATGTCGCGTCCTCCCACTTGGGAAAGGCTGTGTTGTACATTCCGCCACTGCTGACCACCACCTGAGCTCAATAGAAACAAAACAGGAATTTCACCTGCATTTGCATAGTTGCCCTCATCCTCGCTCCTAAATCTCCCAATCCCGTGCGCGGTGCTTGCTTCTCTCTGATCGCTCTGATCCGCTCTTCGTGGCCCAGCCACCAGGCGTGAGCGCACCGTGGCCTCCAGGCACGGCATCGCCAAGGTGCCCAGCAAGTAGGTGCCTCGCGACAAAGACAACGTGCTTGGGAAGGTCATCCATCAGCTTCACACAGGGCTTCAAATGGTGTTCTGTGAACAAGCAGAGCTGTTGGCATTTGAAACCTCATAGAAAAGGAGGAGTCAAAAGGTTCTTCGGTACGAACAAGATGAAAAAGGGTTCTTCGGTGCGAACAGGTAGTGGTTTAGATGTTTTTGACAGGGGGAACCTTAAAGATTGCCACCCTGTTAGGGGATCCAAGAAGTTTCAAGCGAATTCCAAACAACAGTGAACACGACTGTTTGTGTCTGAGTGGTTTGGCATACCGCGTGTTGGTCAAACCTGCATTCCAAAGCAGAGCAGCCAAAGAGGAGGTGAGCCGCGAAGGTCACTTCGACATTCTCAGAGGTGAGAGTCTTTGTGTTGGCCAGCGCCCCTGGAAAAGTGATTTCACCGGAGGATCACAATCCGTGGTGGGAATTCCCACACCTTGAACATTTGCAATTACTATTTCAGACTCAGCTGAGTCTCATAGATAGTCATCCAATTGCCATCTTACGGTTTGTCAAAGCTTCTATACCAGCCTGCATTGCACACCAGGCCATTCAGGTGCACCCCATCACTGCCTGTGACCAAATGGGGAAATGACAGTTGCAGTTGCTGGGTCGGCAGTCCTGCGATGCTTTCCAGTAGTTTCTGGTGACCTTTCCCTTTCGGTTTGACTTGTCGCCTTCGCGGTGAGCCTTCCCTTCGCAGGAAGTAGGCTGGACACACTTTCTCGTTACAGCTCGGTTGGATCTGGCATCAGTTCTTCTCTGACTGAAAGAAACAATTGTGAAGAAGGCTGGCTTAAAGCTCCTTTACATGCAAAAGCTGTTTTCGAGCCGTAAGTTGTCGCTTGGGTCACAGCTCAGAGGGATTGCAACCGCCACCAAGGGGCTCTGTTGCATGCGATGGGCACAGAACTCATCCCAGCAGCGGCGAACATCCGCCTCGGCGTCCCACAGCCCAATAGGTGTGACATCCGGCCGGTTGGCGTTTTTGCTCTCTCGTGGAAATTGATGAGTGGTTGGGTTGTGATCAAGTAGTTCAAATCACCCAAAGCCATCCAAAGCCCAAGTCTGTCCAACATCTAGTGTGTTTCATCGAAGGTTTGAAAGCGCTTTGTCCAAGCAAATCCCCCTCTTGTGTCACCCGCCTCTAGGCTACAATCTGCCAAGAGAACATGCACACGGCTTGCTGAGTCTCCTGTGGCAGCACGTGTTTCAATACATAGCCCACATAGCAACGACCCACATGAAAGTGCCCTTTCGCAGGGGGACTGTCCTGCCTGCGGCGGCCGCCACGATGTCTGCGCGGGCAGCTTCTGCACGGTCTTTGCTTCGGCAAACCATGTACAAAGTGGCACCTCTTCGAGGAATCGTACTGCGGAAGCGACCACACACTGAAAACTGCTTCAAAACTCCGAGAATGTACTGAAGCCATGATTTGCTTGATGTTGAGTCTGCAAAATGGGGAGAAGGTGACAAAAATGATGACGGACCTCAAATGCATTCTGGATAGAAGGTGACATTGCTAACCATCTAAATGCCACAAGCGGACCTTTTGTTGCAAGGAACTGCGAAATCTCCTTTCCAATTCCCGAGTTTGCTCCAGTCCTTAGCGAGTTGGCAGCGAGTCAATAACTGCAAGACCCCGTGTTCTAAACGACTTTACAAGGGTGTGCAGGTCAACATCTGGATGATGACCTGGACAATGAGAAAACGCCCTGTGATTGTCACCTGCTCTTGGTAGACTCAGACCGAAACCTCATTATATCTGTCAGTGTTGCCCAGCGGCACAATAAACACTTGCCCTGCAAGGTCAAGCGCCGTCGATAGCAGATCCTCCACAGGGCATCGCAGAAATGTTGCAGAGCTCCACGTGAAAGGCATTCTGACTTGCAGTGAGACCGACGATAAACCAACACTGCACATGTATACGTGTATAGAAGAACAAAACTATTTAGGGGAGGCTTCTTGATCCAAGGTCAACAGCGATCTTTTGAGATGTTGTGAAACTCTTGGTGTTGCCAAACACCATTTGCCTCCACAAGGAATACTTCGAAGGGTCCGTATGACCAATTCCTACATGTCCTGCATCTTTACAAATGTAACTACAAACCCCACAAATCTCACAAAGGCATCGTTGGGCCTGTAAACTTGTGTGTGTGTGTGTCAGTGTCAGCTCCATCCATGGGAATGTCCGTCTGCTCCCCTCCCCGCTCCCGTCCGGCTGCTCGTAGGTGGCTTTATGCATCTCCCAACCGCTACTCGTGAAGTGGCGTTTTCCATAGAGGAAGAACTGGGCACAAGGAGTGAGGAACTGAAAAAACAAATGCAAAGAGATGCAAGGAAGCAGGTCGGTCTTTTCAACCCGTTTCCTGCTGTACAATGCAGTTAATTAGGCAAAGCAAATCATCTGGTCAATACGTCTGTTCATATAAGCACTACTTGTGTGTGTGTGCTGGCGTTGCTTTTTGCAAAGGCAAAACCTTTCTAGCTGCTAGCTTTTGAGTGTCATGAACACCTGTGTCCATGGTGCAATGAAACATAAGTTCTTGCCGACCTTGATGTCTGAGCCTCCAAAAGAGAGGTGGACTACTGACTGTCTAAGGTACACTATACTCGTGTTTCGGCAGGTTTGACACCGTGCTCTTGCAACCTTTGATGTCCTCCCTGCCTGGGTTGTGGCGGCAAACTGCCAGAAACCCATTGCGACTTGACACGAAACTAGTCACAGGACAGCTTCCCTTGAGAAAGGCTTGCTGGAGCAAAATGAATAACAAGGACAAGGACTCCTCAGTCTTCCTTCATGAGTTCCGTCATAGACTTCACTAAAGCGACAAGTAACTATAAGCACACCATCTTCATTCAAGTTGGTAAGCAACGGATACAAGCACCAAACACAGGTGACAGAAGATAGGTCATCTTCAATCACTTGCATCAGGATCAATGACCATCTGAAGCGAAAAAAATTGAATACCGTACCATAATACCATATTTCCTGCAGCTCCCCTAGCCCAGGCGCCAGTGCAAAATTCTTGAGGTTTTCTGTGATTTGGGAGAAAGCACTTCGACCGCGAGCCTCAAAGTCACCGGCCACATGATCAGGGGTCCCCTGGCGAAACATTCAAGGTAGACACTGAAGCTGGCGTTGTGGCTTTGCAGCGGACGATTCTTCTGCATTCCCTTGTGGTTTGCAGCCGTTTGCAAACTTGGATACCCCACTGATTTGGTAATCTAAATGGTAGGCCATGAGAGAAAGGTCAAGGATGGTCGAGGTACATGATGGTACATGTTTCTAACTTGATGACGCAGGAGCTACACGCCAAAGGGGGCATGGAAGGCGTCCGCAAGCAAGAAGATCCCGCCTCATTGGCGCGAATACGCCTGATGTGCTCGATCGGTTCCATGTTCAAAGCTCTTTTCTTTTGTGGGAACTCATCTGTGACATGAATGACTCTGTTGGTTGCTGCTCGTGGGTGTTGGTGATGCAAAGACAAAATTGAATGAATCAATGGCTAAGCCACTTCCCATTGCACGAGTTAGACCTGTTGGAATGCATGAGTACTCCACGCATGCGGGTCCGTACTCTGAGAAAGAAACATTCATGCTTTAGCCCTTTGAGCCGTCAAAGTGCAGCAAAAAGAAAGCACGCTTTGCGATAGCTTGACCAATTGTGAGCTATACCCCTTCTGAACTGCTTCACCAAACTCCTCAGGGAAGCGTCGTCCATATGAACATCTCATTGGATGCCAGTTCGCTCTTTCGGCTGTTGAAGCGGCTTGCACTCAATAATTTTGTTCAAGCACTGCCAGTGTCTGGCACAATATTGACGCCATAGATTGGGTTGCAAGGATGGCGCCTCGGGGTGTGCACAGCAACACATCTTTTGCGCCGTGTTTTTCAACAAAGTATTTTGTGCTCACTGGAGAGCAGGATCGCGGCTACGGTCCTTACTAGTCCTGGCGATTGCAGTCATTCAGGTGGACATTGTCTGCATGCTCGATGCATTTCACCACATTAAAACGAGAGAGCAACCGCTTTCCTCCATTCAACTGGCGCAGCACTCGTGACTTTTCGTGAATTGCTGGCGTTTCACTTTTGATGAGTCCTTACCTGAAATCTGAATTCAACCCGTCCACAGTTCCATCATGTGATCAGAGGTCCTGCCACCAACAAGTTAATTAAATAGGTATCACTTCACAATATGAACAAACACAAAAGCGGATGCGGCAGTTGTCGAATCACAGGTTGCCAACGACCTTCGCTTTTGCGCCGCAAAGCACAAATAGATCACAAAAAAGAAGGACCGTTAGCCTGCCTTTTTTCCTCACAGTCATCACGAGCGTCCGGTGGGTTCTAACAGCCAAACAGCAACACGGCATTGGCATCGCACAATGAATACTCTGGACCGAAATCGCAACCCCTTCTCACCTGAGGTCTTCGTATTCTCACCTCCTCGTCTATTGTTTTTGGTGACGTGAGGCCTGACCTCAATACGTTAGGCAGCTTCATCGCTCCTTTTCACACCGGACGCTGAGCCACTGCGGGCGGTTGTATACACAATCGAATGTACATCAGGTGAATTCAAAAAGTCTAACACCCTGCCCTGCGTAGGACACCTTTTGTGGCGCCTTAAGAATGCTACTCTTCGAGTTCAGCAGCTGTGAAAATCAGATGATCTCGATCTTCATCTCCAGAACAAGAAAAAGTCAAACAGACTTTCCCAGGGTGGACCGAAGGTTTTACCTTCCCGCCTGCTTTGCAAAAGTTGACCATTACACAAGAAGGATCCACAAAACAGCTGTATCACCAGGAATGCATTGCCATTAACACCAGAGGCGCCACTATTTATGGTTCCAATAGGTCTTACTTGCGCAGGATGATTATGCACATACAATACCACGAGGACCCTCTTTTGGAGCATCTCGCGGATATTGTGCCGTCTAGACCGGTTAGGAGGGATGCTGATCCCCTCAATGCATTTCTGCAGAGACGCCCCTTTCCAGCGTCACAACCGCGCCGAACAGGCTTTTGGACTACCAATGACAGATCCCAACGCCCTCTGATCCGTATTGACGCACAACCTACGGAGCAAGAACACTCACAGCGAGACACCGGGCGCACGCATCATCAAATCGAGACGGCACTATACGTAGTTCCAGTCGTGGATGTCATACATCAAGGCGTAGTCAAATTGCAGTCCTGGCTCGTTTGGGTTGTGCTTTGCAGCTAGGAGCTGCAGGAACTGCTTGCACAAGTATGCAGGGGAATGCGGCCCCAGTCGGGAGCTCATGAAGCAAATTGGTTGCCTGGCTATGGGTGGCCAATGTCCAAAGCGGGGCATGCTCAGCGGCTGGTATAACCGCATTTTGTCCAAGGTCGCTTATTGGCTTGTAGGCAGCCGAAATGTATGGTTCAGGCCTCGGACCCAAAGAAATGGCTGAGGGATGAAGCACTGCGCGGACCCGACGCGTTGGCGCTGAGATGAAGGAAACATACCCAAAAGAATGAAACTATCATCATCTGCAATGAAAAATTGCCATTCCTGAGTCCCCAAATGGGGACTCACGAATTGCCGCTCGGCCCTCTGTCTCTCAGTGCAGAAGCGACGATGACCGCATTGAACGAAAGAGCAAAAGACAGGAAAGAAGGAAACTGTTTCAGAACAGGTGCCTGTTCGAGAGTATAGATACCCCAAGACAGAGACGTCAGTGGTTGTGCTTAATGTACCGCAAACAAAAAAGAACAAGAATCCGGGAACAGAAAGGTTCGTCCATCAGTGGTCGCGTCCTATTTTTCGGAGCAGCGCAGCATGATCTCAGTCATAATGCTGAAAGGTGAGAACACAAGCTTTGCGAAGGCACATGCGACGATGCTCAGGAATGCCCAGAGTGACTTGAGCTGTTGCTGGGCACAGAGCGCCACATTTGGCTCGTACTCGTTGGCCCCCCTGTAGTGGAGTCGATCACTAGTGTGTGTATGATGAATAAAATGTAAAAAGTATGCCTGGGGGCTGCTGCGCAGCGTCATCTTCACTTGCAGGAGACCCAAAAAGGTCGCGCTCTGTGGGAGACGGCATGATATCAGCACCCTCTGGGGAGAGAACTGGATCAGACTGAGGGTCCTGCACGACAATGAAATCGGGGCTGTCGATGCGCTAATCCAACTTCACCTGAGAGAGAAAAGGTTGAATCAAAACCCAAGAATCCGAACAAGGGATATGCGTGGGCTCTATTGCAATCGCTGGCTCGGGCAATGGGACCTGAGCCCCCCGGTTCAGGGGTTGACGGACACCAACCTCCACGGATTAATGAGGAGATTTTGCATTGCAGGTGGAGACTAGGCTACACGTCATCTCGACTGTATAATTGAACAGAGGTCAAATGTTTGCGATGCCCTTGTGACACACTACTCTGCAGGCTCTAAATTCTGGGCGGACCAGCTCAACAGTGTGCACTTGCAAGAATGCAGTGAAAAGGAAAGGAGTTGTTCATGCGAACATCTTGAAACGAGTGAAACACGAATGAACTGACGCAAATGCTTCAACGCAGACGCATAGCTCATGGGACCTGACAAACAATCATCAGGAGTTAACGCGCAGAACAAGAAATCTGGCTGAACATGGCAATTCAGGCTTTGGTTTGCACGCAGCCACACCGAATCTAGCGCCGCAAGCCATTTGTAGGCCCAAATGCCTTGGATTTCAGCTGAGCTTGAACACGAGAGGCCCCAAGGCATGATACCCCAGGGCATGCCTGTCCTGCTGGTCTTAGTGCGAAATGAGATGCTCCTGAGGGAATTGTTATCCAACATGAGGCGGGACCAGTCCACATGTTGGGCGTCACCAAAACGAAGACTGGCCCATATGCAACAGAGACACGCCCATTTGAAAAGTATTTCAAACGTGGAAATGTTCTCATGAAGGATGTCACGCTCCCAAAGGAACACAATACGCAGGGGGAGGGGTATGGCCTCTTGATGCGCTTGGACTGAAAAAGAAAAACTACTCAAGGGAGGACTATATAAGTCAGGGAATGGCAATTGAATCAATTTAACCATCCAGCGGAGACTGCGAATCCAATGAGAAAGGCCAGCTTTGCGGTCTGGGTCAGTAGAAGAAGATGCCTGCAATGATACAAGGACATCTGCAACGTCGATGACCGAAACGGTTTCTCAATCATAACCTAAATCAAAAAGGATTCCAAAAAAGGCCAGGCACAGCGATGTATTTTTCAACAAAGTTGATTCTGCCCGTGGGAACAACATGCGGTCGATAATTGCTTCAGGGTTCACACTGGTGTTGATGTCTTGCAGGAGCTGGCTGAATGGCAGCAACAATGCTGACAACTGAGACCACAGCAAAAGCGCATGCAGTCTTTGCGCTGAATGCTGTGATCTTTGTGAGACAAACCCAGGAGTTGAATCTGATGTGAAAGAATTGAATGAGCTCTGGGGCATTGGATGATGAGAAGGTGGAGTGAATTGAACTAGAGAACGGGGGTACTACTTCAAAGTCCCTTTGGGATGAAGGATAGGGGCAAGAGCGTTGCTTCCGTGTAAATGAAGGCTGAGGCAAAGGTACACTCGGCTACGGGCGACGAGGTGAAGGAGAGTATATGGGAGCTGGGAGGGGAGTGAATGATTCAACAGGTAGTGCTGGGCGGATCGAACTAATTGAAACGCAAGAGTCAATACGATTCGGAGCAAGTTGCCTACGATGAATTGGTGTTTGAGGTCATGGCTTACAAGCACAGGAGGCTCCCGGCGCTGA